CCACTGCCATGGCCTCCCTCCAGCCGCACCCCAAGGCCTTCATTGTTGGCTGCACACCCTCGGCCGATGCCCTCCCCTGCCCTCCCGGTGCACCCCTCTCAACCGGCACCCGCCTTTAGGCCGCGACCTCCCTATGTCATTCCGGCGCTATTAATGCTCCACCAGCACTTGTGCCTTCATGGCCTCTTTCACGGCTTCTTTGTCGTCACCATCTCCACCTACCTTGGAGCTCTTACCGGACGAAGTTCTACCTCCTCCAGTGGCCCCCTCAACATGCCACTTCATAACAACGCAATTCACTTGGCCCGCTTACACATTCAATGACCATAATTATGTGTCATGGGCATCCACTACCTCCTTCATAATCTCACAAACGACTCTCCAGCTCTCTACAACCTTTTTTTTTGCCCACTAGTTGCAAATTGACTCGGTTGTTATCATTTGGATGCTCCATAGCATCGAATAGAGCATTGTCAAACCTCTCTCTCATATCAAGTCAGAGTGCCTTATGTGAGATAATTTAGAGACAACGTACGCCAACCGAACAAACATTAGATGAGTGATATAGATCTTCAAGTCTCTCCTTAACTACAAACATGGCAATCTCTCTCTCCATGCATACTACGGTCGCCTATAGGTCCTCATTCAAGAGGTGGACATTTATTAACCTCTCACCTCGAACCTCTTGACATTCTAGTACTATCACGAGGAGTTCTATGCTAGTGTTTACCTTAACGAACTTCATCTTTCCACTATGTCTTAGATCTGTAGTTTCATTCTCTCTAATGATCGGATATCTAACTTCATTCTCTTCACTCTGTCCTAGTCATTGTATAGTAAATCACACAAATTTAAAATTTATAAAACTAGAAAATATTAATTTTTAGATATTTAGAAGTATTTTTGAACAAATATATCAATTATAATTTAATAAAACTTTTAAAAATAGTAGTAATTTTTCAGATCAATCATAGAGATATAATATAATATTGGGTAATTTTTTATAATTTTACTCAAAGGATATGATTTTTTATGAATTTTATACTATGAAATGAAAATAAAATATATTTTAAATTTATAAAAAAAGGAAATAAGGGTGCAGACATTAGGATGACGTTAGCGCTCGACGAACGTGAATCAGACGAAAATAGAGTTCCACCTAACGATTCTTACGTAAGTAATTACAAATGATTTAATTCATCAAATTAAGATCTGTAAAAGCTGAAAGAATTATAATTAAATGAAGTATAGCTTGGTAAATTTAAATCACACACACTATCACTAAATGAAGCAGAAATTAAGTTGAAAGTAAGAAAATAGAGTTCCGGTGTCGAGGTGGCAATGCGTCGACAATGTACCAAAATCTTGAACGTTCAAGAGGATCGTCGTGCAGTATCCACGGCCTCGAAGGCTCTCTTTAGACAAGGACAATGTGGACAATCTCTAGATCTCCCTATAAAGTCTAGAGATTAATGAAATGGGTTGTCGAATCGTCTCTGGTGGCTATCACTAAACAGAGCAGAAAAATGATAACTTTGTGGCTCTCCGACGGCTGTCACCCAACGAAGAGGAGCTGGATGGAGGTGGGGCGCATGTCAAGGAGTTACATCCTCAGGTTCGTGTAATAAGAAGAGGCTCTTCATCGCATCCGATATGCTCTCAAGAGGCGATGACTCATCTCTCAGCAGATCGTCTTTTTTCTGACGATGGCTTGTTCATTGATTAGAGATGATTTACTCGATGGATTTGCGATCCTTTTATTGCGAATCGTTCAACAATTTTAATAACAATGCTCCACAAATCACATTGACGAGATTTTTGCCGATGATCTAGTGATTCTAGCAGCTTAATCCTTCACCGGTGATCTGCAAGAAAGTCACGATAATTAGATAAAAATACGAGTTTTGATTCTGGGAGGATTTTAACCCACGTTGGTTGCCCGCCTTTGAAGCCTTTCAAGAGAAGGTGTGATGCGAATTTAGTCTCACATCGCTTGTGTGCCAAAGTTTGGGCGAATAAATACTAATATCACATTTTCAAGTAATGAGTCATTTTCTCCCACGTGTACGACCACTCTTTGCCCCATAACCAGCTGGCCACTGGTGACGTGGAAGGGGAGTGGTGCACGCGTGCCCCCATCAGTCCTAGTCACTCGAGCCCTTGCTCACAGCTCCCCTTGATTGTGCTTCCAACTAACTTGCGGGCCTAGTTGGCCAACGAGTCCCCTCGTTTAGTTATATTTTTATTTTTATTTCTTTTTCTTTATTTATCTCAAAAATAGGATTATAAAAATCATATAAATTTATAGAAAATCACATAATTAACTAAAAATTCACGTTAATCAACTAAAAACCACTTTTCACAATTTAACACAAATATAAGTCTATTTATCAAGAGTTAAGACTAAAATTATATTATTTACTAATTACTAACTCATGATAATAAAGACTTATCACTTGCCTCCATCTTCTTTGCGGCACTTCGGGTCACGATTGGTATGTCTTTGTCCTCCACCTTCCTCCACAGGTGCCGTGACTTCTCCTTTAACTATGGTTGTTGCCACTCCTCAGGCTTGAGATGATGGCCCATCTTTCTACCTTAAGGGCAGCTGTCTTCCTCGTGGAAAGGGCTGCAACTCCTTCCCCTTGTCTCCCTATTACGACAAGTAGAACCATTAGGACAACAAATGTTGAAAGTAATTCGACAAACCGGCTTCTGTCTAGTCAGCCATGACTCCTTCGGCTCCTATCTCACCCACTCCTTCAAATGTCCTTGCCCTAACTTTCAATGTCAACCTGACGTCTGCAAAGTATGACGGATTTCATCACTACATCAGTCTCTATAGTTTTAATAACACCTCTTTTACTAGCCTCACCTTGCTTCCAGCTCCCTCCATGTCAAGTACACATGCTCTCATTGCTTCTTCTTCATCACCATGGATTATCGACTCAAGGGCCTTCAATCATATAATCGGCACTTTATCCCTTTTATCTTCATATCAACTTACCCCTTCCCATCCCCCCATCACCGTTGTTGATGGCTAGACTTATTTGGTCAAAGGCCGTGACACTACCCTTGCCACTTTTACTATTCTCTTCCAACAAGTCTTTTATGTTCATAGCTTTCTTGCGAACCTTCTCTCAATTAGTGTCATTACTCGTGCCCTGATTGTACCATTACCTTTTTTCTTTTCATTGCATTTTTCAAAGTCTACACATCAAGTGGAGGATTGATTTGAGCCGTGAGAACGGGCAAAGTGTCTATAAACTCATTTCCATTTAACCTTCTTCTAACCTTAAGATCATTTTTGTTACCTTTACCACCACTTCTATCCTCTTATGACATTGGTGGTTAGGTCATTTCTATTTTGAGAAACTTTAAAAAAATTTACATGATTTTCTCTTAAGAAGTTTGTGTGCGAGTCATGTTAGTTGAGATATTATTCTTTCTTTTTTCTTTTTTGATCTCATCTATTGTGATGTATGAGGTCCTTCTCGTACTCCTTCCCTCTCGGACCATTGATATTACATCATTCTTACTGATGAGTACACCTATGTGAGTTGGGTATATTTCATACATGATCGCTCTAAGGTCATCACTACTATTACCCACTTTATCACAGAAGTCGTCACTCAATATTCCACTACGACTAAATTCTTTGTACCAACAACGCCCTCAAGTTTGTCTAAACCTCTCTTCAAACCTTCTACGTTGATTGTGACCATTATCTATTAGACCACTTGTCCTTATATCTCATAGCAAAATGATGTTGTTGAGCGCAAACATTGCTAGTTCCTTGACATCACTCACACCCTACTTCTTGAGATGAATGTCTCACACTATTTGTGGACTAATGGCCTCATGACAATCGCTTACCTCTATAATCGGCTTCCCTTCGCTCTCTAGGTGGGGCCATTTCCCTTTAATGCTTTCTACCTATCTCGTCTTTATTTTTTCTCTCCTCGGGTCTTTGGATGCATTACCTTTATCTTGGATCACTCTCCTTCCCTATTTAAACTCGTTCATCATACTCTCAAAAAGGTTTTTGTTAGCTACTCCCAAATGCAGAATGACTATCGGGTTTACTTTCTTGACACCTATCGCTATGTTACATCAGCCGATGTCACCTTCTATGAGGAGTTTCTCTTCTTCTCCTCTACCTTCCCTCCACCTTCTCAAGCTGTCACCTCTCCTCCACCTAACTTTTCCTCCTTGGTGGTTCTTGCATATTCATCTCCTTCAACTCCCTCCTAACCATTCTCTCTACCATCACCTCCTCCTCTTGACTCCCTGATAAGTCTTCATTATCATGAGTTAATAATTAGTAAATAATATAGTTTTAGTCTTAACTCATGATAAATAGACTTATATTTGTGTTAAACTGTGAAAAGTGGTTTTCAGTTGATTAACGTGAATTTTTGGGTAATTATGTGATTTTAAATAATTTTATATAATTTTTATAGTCTTACTTTTGAGATAAATGAAAAAAAAGAAATAAAAATAAAAATAAGACAAAATGGGAGACCCGCCGGCTAACCAGGCCCGCAAGCGGGTCGGAAGCTCAGTCGGGGAGTAGATGCAAGCAAGGGCTCGAGCGGCTTGGATCGATAGGGGGACATGTGCACCACTCCCCTTCCACATCACTGGTGGCCAGCCGGTTGTGGGGCAAGGAGTGGTCATACACGCGAGAGAAGAGACTTGCTTAGAAATGTAACATTAGTATATATTCGCTTGAAAAATCGGTGCACAACTGATGTGGGACTAAACCCCCACACCTTCCTCAAAAAGGGCGGGCAACTGGCGCGGGTTCGAATCTTCCTAGAGCCAAAAGTCATATTTTTATCTGATTATCGCGACTTTCCTGCAGATCGCCGGTGAAGGATTAAGCAACAAGAATCGCTAGATCATCGGCGAAAATCTCGTCAACGCGATTCGCGAAGCATTGTTACTAAAATTGCTAAAGGATTCATGATAAAAGGATCGCAAATCCATCAAGTAAATCATCTTCGATTGATCGACGAACAAGTCGTTGTCGGGAAGAGGACGATCTGTCGGGAGACGAGTCGCCACCTCTTGAGAGCGTACCAAATGTGACGAAGAGCCTCCTCTTGCTGCGCAGACTTAAGGATGAAGCTCCCTGACACGCACCCCACCTCCATCTAGCTCCTCTCCGTCGAGTGACAACCGTCGAAGAGCCGCAAAGTTGCCGTTTTTCCACTCCACCGAGTGACAGCCGCCGGAGATGATTCTACAACCCATTTCATTAATCTCTAGACTTCGCAAAGAGATCTAGAGATTACCCACGTCGTCTTTGTCCAAGGAGAGCCTTTGAGGCCGTGGACATTGCACGACAATCTTCCTGAACGCTCAGGATTCCAGTGCATCGTCGATGCATCGCCGTCACGACGCCGGAACTCTGTTTTCTTGCTTTCAACTTACTTTATGCTTCATTTAGTGATAATTTTTGTGATTTTAATTTACCAAAATATACTTTGTTCAATTACGATTCTTCTGACTTTTATAGATCTTAATTTGATTAATTAAATCATCTATAATCGCTTACGTAAGAATCATCGAGCGGAACTCGGTTTCCACCCGATTCGTGTTTGCCGGGCGTTGATGTCATCCTAATGTCTGCACCCTTATTTCCCTTTTTCGTGAATTTTTAAATATATTTTATTTTTATTTCCTAGTATAAAATTCATAGAAAATCGTATTCATTGAAAACAATTCTGAATAATTATCAGATATTATATTATATCTTTGTGATTGAACTGAAAAATTATCGCTATTTTTTGAAAGTTTTATTAAATTATAATTGATATATTTGTTTAGAAATACTTCTAAATATCTAAAAAAATCATATTTTCTAGTTTTATAAATTTAAAATTTGCGTGATTTACTATACAATGACTGAGTCACGTCACTCCCCATCTCCACTAGCCTCCTCTGCTTTGGTTATAGATCTGTTGTCCCCCTCCTCCATTGACCCACTTGTGCATCCTTTTGATGTCCCTAAAGTTCCTCAAGATGGTCTTCATCTTCCCATCGCCCTATGCAAAGGTACCCATTCTTGTACCCAACACCCCATCTCTCATTTTGTTTCTTATGATTGCCTTTCCCCCTCCTTTTGTACCTTTGTCATTTTTGTAGCCTCCAAGTCGATTCCCCGTTCACATGTTCAGGCAACGTAGGTACCTAAATAGAAGGTGGCCATAGACTTGGAAGTGGACGCTTTAATATCTGGGGGGACTTGGACATTGGTTTCTCATCCGGTAGATGCCAACATCGTCACGTGTAAATAGGTCTTCACACTCAAATACTATCTAGATGGCACTATTGCATGTCACAAGGTTCGTTTGGTTGCTCGTGGCTTCACTCAAACATATGACATTGACTACATTGAGACGTTCTCTCTCGTCATCCAACTTACTTTTGTTTGAGTGTTCCTTTGTCTTGTCATAAATTAGGTATAATCTCTTCACCAATTTGATATTTTTAACATCTTTCTTTATGATAATTTTGAGGAGCATGTCTTTATGGAGCAACCTCCAGGATATGTTGCTCGAGAGGGGGTCATCTAAGATGTGTTTCTTACAAAAGACGATTTATAAGCTCAAGTAGAATCTATGCATTTGGTTTGCCAAGTTCAATGATCTTCTTACTACATTTGTCTTCTCGTTATGCGTTGTAAATCCTATTGTGCTCATAAAGATGATTGAGGGCGGCCTAATTATTTTTGTAATCTATGTCGATGACATTTTTGTGATTAAGAGTGATGAGGTGAGTATTCATTCTACCAAAGTTTATTTGTAACAACACCTCAGCATCTTTGACTTGGAGACTCCAAAGTATTTTCTTGAGATTGAGTTTGCATATCAGGACAAAAAGTTTGTCATGATCCAATAGAATTATGCTCTCGACATACAGTAAGAAATTGTACTATTTAGGCATAAGTCAGAGACTTTGTCTCTTTTGGGACACTTTCTCTCTACTCCTTGAGGATGTTAATTGGTACAGACAATTATTAAGCAAGTTGATATATCTCACTGTCACTTGCCCCAACATTGTGTATATGGTTAGTGTTATGAGTTAGTTCTTGTAAGAGCCACAATGAGTTCACTAAGAGGGAGCTCTATCAATTCTAGTATATGTCAAGCAAGTCATAAAGAAATGACTTATCTATCATAGACACAATCATCTCTATATTGAAGTCTATTATGATGATGGGTATGTAGGTGACAAGAGCAATCAAAAGTTTACTACAAGTTACTACACATATGTTAGAGGTATCCTCATCACCTGGTGGTCCTTGAAATAGAGGGTGGTGTCTTATTCTAACACAGAGTTTGAGTATTGAGTCATAGATGAGACCGCGTGAGAGATAATATGACTTTGATCACTTCTAAAAGATCTCGGCATCTCTTCTCATTCTCTAATACCTATACATTGTGACAATCAAGTCACTATTTTCATTGTTAGTAATCATAACTTTTATAGATGTACGAAGTATATTGAGATCGACAATCATTACATTCGAGACAGGATTATGTTTAGTCTCAACTCTACTCCTCATGTAGTCTCATCTCATCAATTTACAGATGTCTTCACGAAAAGTCTAGTTAAAATCTCTCATGATGTCACATATACTAATCTGGACATGTTTGACTTATATGTTGACAATGAAGGAGAAAAATTTAGAATACATTGAAGAGATTATATTACTACATATGTCTATATAGAAAAACAGAAGAGGAAATATAGATAATGAGCCCTAATAGGCCAAGAGTTCGATGATACTATTGAACACTCTTACTTCTTCTTCTTTATCTTTTTGATGTCATAAGAGAGAAGAAGTGGTGGTAGAGACAATAAAAAGGGTCCAAAGAGTCAAAAAAATATTCAACGAAAATGAGTTCATAGACACCTTGTCTGTTCTCACGGCTCAAACCAATCCTCTACTTGGTGTGCAAATCCTGAAAAGTATAATGAAAAGAAAACAAGGTAATGGTACAACCAAAGGTACAAGTAACGGCACTAAATAGGAGAAGATTCACAAGAAAGCCAAGAGTAATGTCATGGCCTTTGATCAGACAAGTCTAGCCATCAACAATGATGATGGGGGGATGAAAAATAGTAGGTTGATATGAAGATAAAAGGAATGAAGTACCGGTCAAATGAGTGGAGGCCCATGAGTCGATAATTCATAGCAATAAAGATGAAGCAAAGAGAACATGTGTACATGACGTGGAGGGAGCCATAAGTGAGGTGAGGTTGATGGAAGAAGAGGCGTTGCTAGAACTATAGAGATTGATGTAGCGATGAAACATGTTGTACTCTATAAACGTTAAGTTAATGTTGAAAGTCTGGCAGGGACGTTTGAAGGAATATGTGAGATGGGAGCCGAATGAGCCATCGTCATTTGAGCAAAAATAAGTTTGCCAAATTACTTACAACATTTGTTGACCTAGTGGTTCTGCTTATTGCAATAGGGACACGAGGGGAAAGAGTTGCAGCCCTTCTTATGAGGAGGACAACCACCCTTAAGGCGGGAAGATGGGCCATCATCCCAAGCCCAAGGAGCAGCAACGACCATAGTCGAGGGGGAAGTTGTGATGCTTGTGGAGGAAGGTGGAGAGGGCAATGACGTACTAGTTGTGACTCAAAGTGTCGTAGAGAAGATGGAGGCGAGGTTGGGTACTCAATCTTTGGAGAGAACGGAACCACGGATCTAAGACAGTGGAAGGATGAAGTGAGGTAAGGTACACACTAGCATAAAATTCTTAGTAATAGTATTGAAGCATTAAGAGGTCCAAGGTGGGAGGTTGATAAATATCCACCTCTTGAATGAGGGCATGTAGGCAACCGTAGTGTGTATGAAAAGAGAGATCGCCCTACTTGTAGTTGAGGAGAGACTCAAAGATCTCCACCACTTGAGTAATGTTCACCTGATTAGCATATATCGTCTCTAGATTATCCTATAGAAGGCATGCTGACTTGATATGAGAGAGAGACTCGATAATGTTCTGGTCGATTTTATGGAACATCTAAGTGATAACAGCCAAGTCGATTTATAACCAATAGTCAAAAGAAGAGTCGTAGAGAGCTGAAGAATCATTCGTCAGATGATGAAGGAGGTAGTGAGACTATAGAAAGAACTTGAGGCCAGACATCTATGACTCATAATTATTGTCGTTGAATGTGTAAGCAGGCCAAGTGAGTTGCACCGTTATGAAGTGGTGTGCCAGAAGGACCACTAGAGGAAGTAGAACATCATCTAGTAGGAGCTTTGAGGCAAGTGAGAATGGGGATGATGGAGAAGCTGCAATGGAGGCCATGAAGGCACAGGTGCCAATGGAGCACAGACGACACCGAAATGATGTGGGGAGGTCAAGGCCTAGAAGTGGGCGTCGGCCAAGAGGGGCATGGTGGGAGGGCATGGGAGGTTGTAGGCCGAGGGTGTGCAGCCGACAATGGAGACCGCGGTGTTAGCAGTAGAGGTTGCAGCGGTGGTAGAGGCTGCAATAGTGGAGGCCGCAGCAGCAGAGCACGCCACCTAGGGCATGCTGCAGCAGCGGTGGCGATTGAGGGGAGCAGGCAGCGCCTAGAGCACACCCGGTGTGGGCGCCTAGAGCACACCCGGTGTGGCAGCCTAGAGAGGGGCAGAAGCAGAGGAGGGCTGTTGTGAAGACCGGCGGTTGCCAATAAGAGGAACAGTGCTAGGAGGTGGGCACTGTTGAGAGGAGAAGGGCGTCGTCAAAGGGGGGCACTGCCGAAGGAGGACGGTGCAACAGAGAGGGAGGTGGCTGCTAGAGAGAACCTAGGACTCTGATACCATGTTAAAAATGGAGAAAAAAACCTCATCATGAAGGACAAAGGAGAGAACGGTGGAAATTGCCTCCATTTCATATTGAAGTTTTCACCTTTATTATCAATAATTCAATCTTTCATGAGCATACTAATCATATTGAAGTTATATTAATATGAAAAATCTTTACCCCACATACCTCTATAGACAAACAATTGATGGATATATTCCCCAAGGCCTTCCCTCATTGTTGACTATTCGACATTCATTTCAAACTAAGCATGTGTGCCACTAAACATAGGAAGTGTTGAATTAATTGAGTTTACTCAATTACATATGTTAGGCTAAGTGAGTATGACTTGTTTTAGAGGATAGTTTTGTCTTTAAGGTTAGGAATAAATCCTTATAAATTACATTGTTGAATGTTTGTCATATTATTTCATTATCTTTTCTATATCTCTTCTCTCTTTTCTCTTCAACAATTGATAATCTAAATGACTTTGGGCAGACAAGTGAGAAGAGCGACCATAAGGATGGGGGAGGGGGAGATGAATATTCTTATTTTTTATTGTATAAATTTGACTTTTATTATTAAAACATAATGGTCAGCCCTCCCCTGAAATAGATTCATTGCCCTAAGATCCACCTACCTACATCTTTAATAGCATGATGATAGACCGATTTTGGGCTAATTAGTGATAATGAACTCAACAAAGCAACTACCTTAACGTATGTGATGAAATAATAATAAATAAAATTAAAACTCACTTGGACCATTCTTCATCAATCATGCCTACATGTTTAGGTTTGCATCCTTATCTTGGTGAACAAGTTATGGATTTCCATGATATATAGATAGTTGGTATCATCTCTCATCAGCTAGATTGAGCAAATTTTAGAGGGTTTCTTTATTTAAAAAAGGAAACATGGAGCTGATATATTCAGGGTTATGGACCCACTCAAATTATATGAGAATAATAATTCATAGACTATTTTCCATTAATTAGCTACCCTTAAACATGACCAAGATTGGAATCGTTGACCAGCTCGGATTAGGGTTTGCAGGCCAGACCCAACATGAGCAAGAAGGCACCGAAGATGTGTGATTTGAATAAAAAATGAATAAATGAATGAATGAATTGAGAATCCCGAGAGATGGATAGGCCGAGATGATGGCATCTTGGAGAGGAGAATAATATCGGAAGAAGATGGGCAATTTGCCCATCAAATCCTCCACTTCCATTCGTCAACGATCGATCCCCAGGGCTCCTCTGATCTTCTGTGTCTATATGACGAGCAAGGGCTTCCCTCCATGGAGCATTCACCTGCCATGGCGTCACCTTGAAGATCGAGCTAAGAGCTGCTCCACCAACTTGTCCAGGGCTTCCTTCATCCACTGCTGCTTGCAGGACTTCTGGACCTCCGCCACCGAGACCCACAGCCGCCGCCGGCTGCTTTTCTCCGGCCAGGCATGGAGCTCCATCGTCACTCTCATGGGGAACATGTACCCCTCCTTGCAGGAGTCTTTCGTCTTGCTCTTGAAGACCCACATGCCGAGCTGACCCTGCAAGAAATTTTCGAGCTACTGTGAGATTTCTGAGGATTAGGGGAAGAACATGGATATGGCGGATTGATTCATCTGATATGATCCGAATTGGGGAATGATTTTAGGGGCAAAAATGGCGGATTGATTATTCCAGGGAGGAGGAGAACCGACCTCGATGTGACCCATCACGCCTGCTTCCTCCACGGCCTCCCGAGAAGCCGCCCCTTCGATGGTTTCGTCGCTCTCCCATCCTCCCTGAAAGATGGCCGCGGAATTTTTAGGGTTTCGAAATCTATGCATTGGAGAGATAAAGAGGAGGAAGAAGATGGAGACGGAGTGGGGGAGATGTTCAGGGTTGAAGAGGCCTCGCCTACCTTGGGGAACATGATATCGTGCCCCTTCTGGGAGCTAATGATGAGGACCTGCAGCGCCTGGCCGATCTCGTCCCGGCGAGGATTGTCCACCTTCAATCTGTAGGGGATGCATCTGTTGCAAGGGGAAATCATTCAGCAATCGCAGCCATGGAGATTGATCGAGCTTCTGAAATGGAATACCCATCTAGGGTTTCCATCGGAGATGGAGAGCTCACCCGACGACGAGACGATGACCCTGGTCGTTGTACCTCTGCAAATCCCTCCCCCGGCGAGCAACAAGGGCGACCATTCTCTCTGCGATGAACTCGAATCCCCCAAAATCCACAGAAACCAGAGACCCAAATCCGAAAACCCTAGCCGGGCCTAATCCTCCGCCTCTGCAACTCCCTCTTTTCACCAGGATCTCCAGGTAGCTGCTGGTGCTGGTGATGATGAGCAGACGACTTAGCGAGGATAATCACCGTTCCTCCGCTTTTTATAGATGTGGCTCGTACGCGGTGGCCACGGGAGAACGCGGGATCTGAATTTAAGAGAGTCAACGGTGGGACCCAAAATTTTCCATGTCGGCAAGTGGGCCCTCCTTTTATTAACCCCATTTTTCCGTTGTTATGACGCGAAGTTGCTCATGCACACTCGGATTTGGTGATGAAATAAATAAGGAAAAAAAAAGAAATTCCCGCGGTTGAGTAGTGAGAGTTGTGGGCCCACTGACTGAAGTCAATCTTACGGTTTTGTAGCCGAAGCATGTGGGGCCCGGCCTGTGGGACCCATGGAGATTTGACAAAAGATCATGATTGGACGCCGCGTGAAATGCTCAACGCGATAAAGTGGGCCCCGCCCAACAACTGATTCCTATCTGTCGGTTCCAATGCAAACTTCGACCTTTCCTTCTCCGGGCGGCTGGGATTTTGGCGGGACTCACCGCCGCGAATCCACGTACGCAAGTGGCCGTCGTCCATCAGCCGCCACTCGGTTACAGTAATCGTAATCACGCGTCATTGCCGCTATGGCTGCCACGTTGCGGTGTGCTAACGCGCCGCCGCTACTGATGCCACTCGGATAGAAAGCCCATGGTCAGACCTGCATCGAGGCTCATTAACATCCCTTGACTACAGCACATTGGGGAGGATAATTGATGGGCCCATTATGGCCCATTAACGCCAACCTTCTAACTGCTTCTGGTAGATTTGAACATTTCTCTCGAAAGAGGGACCACGTTCAGGCCTATCTTCATTTCGGGGGCCCGTTTCTGAAGGCCCATTCAGATCCCTATTACCAGGGCCATAAGTATCTTTAATGGGCCGCGGGACAATTAGCGGTGGTGGGCACCATCAGCAGCCACCTTGGTCCTCGAAGACGACAGCTTGAGGCCCATCTTAACTTCCGGGCTTGATTATGTTGGCCCATTACAAAAGGATAATTAATCGGCCCATTTCATATATGTGCCCGATTCAAAGGCCCATTAACATTTCTCTGGAAAGGGGTATAATCAGTGGGCCATGTGAAGGCCCATATTAATATCGGGCCTGATTTATAAAGGCCCATATGCATCCTTAAAGGGGCCGGGGGATAATTAGCGGCTATGGGCCTCATCAGCAGCTATCTTGGTCCTCAAGACGACGGCTTGGGGGCCATCTTAACTTCCGGGCTTGATTACGTTAGCCCATTTACAAACGGATAATTAATAGGCCCATTTGGTATATGCGCCTGATTCAAAAGGCCCATTAACATTCTCTCTTGAAATGTGGATAATCAGTGGGCCCTGTTCAGGCCCAACTTCATGCCGGGCCAATGTTTTTTAACGGTCCATTATAATCCCCCTACCTAGAGACTTATCAGGTCCATCAGCATCCATATGGGCCGCGGGGACAATTACTGGGGCCCTCATCAGCAGCCACCTTGGTGGTGCTCGAGGCGGACGACGGCTTCCAGGTGGCTGAGAATTTCATAAATCTGCTCCATCTGGGGGTGCAAAGCATCGAAGACCTTGAAGGCGTGGACTGCGCCGCCCACCTCGATCCAGCTGAAAGCAGTCGTCTTCTTCACTCCGGCGTCCCTCATCACAGTTCTCACCCTCGCCATCTCCTCCCACCTTCCCGACTCTGCATAGATGTTCGACAGCATCACGCCGGCGGCGCCGCCGGGGAGGTCGAGGTGGGCAGGCACGGCGTCGGGGAGATGGGTCCGGCAGGCGGCGAGGAGGGCTCCCCGGACTTGCTCCGGGGGCGGCGCCGGCGTGCCGGTGACGAGGAAGAAGGCCTCCTGGAGGCGGCCTGCTCTGCCCAGAAGGTCCACCATGCAGGAGAAGTGCTCGCCGGAGGGGAGGAGGCCATGATCTTCGGCCATGGATTGGAAGAGCCGGCGGGCTTCGTCCACCATTCCGGCGTGGTTGCAGGCGGAGAGGGCGGCGGTTAGCGTGATCCCGTTGGGCTTCTCGCCGGAGGCCTCCATGCGGCGGAGCAGGCGGAGGGCTTCCTCGCCGTCGCCGTGGGCGCCGTGGGCGAGGATCACCGCGTTCCACAGGGCGGCGTCCTTGTCGCCGGCGAGCTCGAACAGGCGGCGCGCATGACTGAGCTTCCCGCACTTGCCGTACATGTCCACGAGCGCGGTGACCACGAAGAGGTCCCCTTCAAGAGCCCTCCTGAGGGCGAAGCCATGCGCCGCCGCGCCAGAGCTCAGCACCGCTGACCTCGATAACAGCGGCAAGATGGTGCAGATGGTGGCGCAGTCGGGGGTCACGCTGGCGGCCTGCATGAGGCGGAACTGGCAGAGGGCTTGCGCCGCCATGCCGCCGCGGGCATATCCGGCGACGAGGGCGTTCCACGCGGCGGCGCTGACCTGCAGGCCCGAAGCTCTCATCTCGGAGAAGAGCCTCATGGCCTCTCCATGCTCCCCATTCCTCAAGAACCCATCCACCATTGTCGTCCAAAGAACAAGGTCTCGGTGAGGCGTTTGGGCAAACACCTTCTGGGCATGATCTGGGCGGCTGAATTTCAGGTAGAAATGGACGAGATCGGTGGCGAGATGGAGGTCTGGTTCTGATCCAGTAACCAGGAGGTGGGCATGGAGGAGAAGCCCCGATCGGGCCCAACCCAGATCGGAGCAGCCTCTGAGGAGCACGCTGAAGGTCATGGCGTCATGGAAGATCTTTGCAGTGGTGGGCGGAAGAGAGAGAGAGTAGAGATCGAGCGCTGATCGGAGCTGTCCGCCATCGACGTGAGCTTTGAGGATGCAGTTGAATGCTCTGGTGGTTGTTGCAGGCATGAGCTCGAAGGATTTGCGGGCATGGCAGAGATTCAGGAGGCGTCCGTAGGAGGAGATGAGCTTGCAGGAGAGGACGGGCTTCCTCCAGAGGCCGGTGGTGTGAATTAAGGCGTGGGTTCGCCGGAGGAGGGAGGAGGAAGACGATGCAGCGGCCCGGTTGAGAGCGTGGAGGAGGAGCTCGTAGGGTTCGACGAGAGGTCGCCGCCCCTCGGCCTTCCTCATGGGGGGCCGGCGGCACCGCCGGTTCTCCGGTGGGGTTTCGCCGTCGGGTTTCAAAGGCTTCCTCCACGCCCATGGAGGAGCGGGGGAACTCGGTCGAAGTAGTCCTGCTAGATTCTCCTGCCTCAGTTGCTCCGCAGTATGAGGAATAGCTTCTTTTACGTTATGGCTTCCTCCGCAGTATGAAAAATAGCCCTTTTTCGCAGGGTGCAGAGAGTTATGCTAACTATTTACCTAATTTTATCTACTTGTTCACATATATTTCGGTTTAGCTTTAAGGATCATGCTAGACAGAGAAAGAAAGAGAGATTTAGGTATGTGTCGGAGAATAGAGAGAGGAAGAGAGAGAGAGAGAGAGAGAATACAAAATTTCAGTGTATGATGTAGACATGTCATAGTGCTGTGATTCCAGCATTTTTCCTGCAATATGGGGCCGGCAAATTTAGAAATTAAACGAATACCTGAAAATTCGGCAAAGAAAAAAAATATATTTTGAGAAAATCGAAAATACCAAGATTTTCCAAAGAAAACCAGGCGAATTGGATCCACCGAGGTTGCATGCCACCGGCGGTTGACTTTTTAACAGGATCCTCACCTACATGAAACAAAAAAAAAAAAACAAAAACAAGAGCAATTATATTCCTATATGAAGGCATAGGAAGTTCCAAGGACCTCAACAATAATTATACAACATTGATAAGATTAAAAAATCGGACAATTAATTCCACCAGATGAGATTATACAAACTAGTGATGGAAATTTGGGTAGATCAGAAACGGCCCATTTGGTCTCCTCCACCCATTGTCGTTGACTTTGATTTAGCTTGTGCACAAATGCCGGAATTAAAAATAGCAAAAAAAAAAAAAAAGAAAAGCTCCAGGATAAAAAGATAACAGACGACTTTTCTTTGAAGCTTTGATTGACTTTAAACCCATGAATCTAATCACATGATTCAATCAGGGCCCTCTAATCTTAGACTTTAACATAGGATTATAATCGGAAATAATAATATTCAGACCAAGTTAAGCAGATGGGCATTAAATCCGTGCCTTTTTTCGGTGTTAGACTAGTGGGAACCATCAAAGTCAACGTTTTTTTCCTGGACCAGCTTACCGATTGAGGAAAGCTTCTTTTGGCAGCACCTTGACTCTTCTAGTCAGCTCTCGCATTAAATCCACAATCATTAATTTCTTCTGCAATCTAAACTCCACTGCTAATCTCGTTGACTCCGATATATCGCCTTTCAGAATTGATTCATCCTCCATGATCTTGGTGGGGAAGTGCTGCAGAGAGATGACGCAGAGGGCAATGACTGTACGGAGGGCCTTACCCTCAGCTGAGACTCCCAAGGGAGCCTCAGCTGACAATGACATCAAGGTGCTTAGATCAGACTTTTGAGCTGCTTCTCGGTCGTCTGAGAGGACAGCCCTGAAGGCGGCCAGCAGACGCCCGTCGACTTTTTCCTCACCTCCCAAGTTGACCTGTACCAAAAGGGCAGAAGTCAACGGTCGTAACATATTTAAGGAGACGCTGGGCAGCTGTGACAGGATCCGGTTTTCAAATGGACAGAAACAGAAATGCTCATATGCCTGAATTTCCCAGGATGGAAGTAGGGGAGATTCTTGGCATGGGATGAAAGCATGCACAGGTGTTGGTGAAGTGGAGAAGGCGACCTTCAGAAAAGCTCCATCTCCATGTAGATTGAGCTGTGATAGAATCTCTCTCTGCCATTCGGTCGGGGATGAGAAGCTCGGAGAAGGTACTCCTGCAGCGATAGCAGCAGCATCCAGAAGAACTCCATCATATTTCAATTCCACATGGTCGTGCGGGTTTGAGGAGATCACAAATCCGTAATCGAGAAGAAAAAAGTCGTTGGTCAAACACCCATAGTTCAGAGTCACCGGGACATCTGTCTCAATTGATGTTTTGGAAACCACCTGGATTAGTTCAGAACAAAAAAAAGGGATCGTCTCAGTCGAATAAATATAATAAAATCAAGGAAATATCATACAATATAAGATTAAAAAAACACATAGGATAGGATGTTGAAGTTAAGTGGAACTTCAGTTGGTGTCGAATGGACCCTTGACAGATTGAACTAACAGAAAATTTATGCAGACATTTCTTAGAGAGAGAGGTCAATGCAGGCTAGTGGCATGAGCCCGGTCAGTTCTCCATCACATGGATCTCATGGGCTCACATCTCTGTATCATTTCCAAATATACATTGTGCATTTTTTCAGAGTCTATGAATCCGCAAAGTCACCATTGATGTCGATGACACCATGACCGGCTACCAATACCAAGAAGGGACGGCGCTGATGATGAGGAACGAAATGAGCGCAGGCAGATGGAAGTAGAGATGAGTCAGATGTGAAGAAAAATAAAGGAAAACTAGAGGTAGGAAAAATGGCTAAAATTATTAACTGCGTTTAATTGCAGTTTATTGGTAGGGTGTACTTAATTGGGTAAGATTTTGATCGAATTATGTCCACACGTATTTTTATGTGAGAAAAAATTGTAGATCGAGATGGAAAATGTTCAAGAAAAGGGAAAATCAGGATTTTTTTCCTTGGAAATCAGGTATTCAAAGATATTGTAAATCTGTGGATCCTAAAGAAGGATTTACATGGGGAAAAAAGGCAACGAAAAGCATACTTCGGTTCATCAACTCAACATCTAGAGCAGTAAATGAAAAAAAGCCTCTTGTCTGAAGGATGCCACTAAATTTCTAAAATAAAAATATAAAAATGAAGTAAAATCAAAGATAAAATTCTATCAATATTTTGCGGATCCACAATAAAATTCTATCAATATTTTGCTCTCTTAAATTTATGACTAACAGAGATCAGATAAAATTAACTTGCCTCAACTAAAAGCTTTTGATTGTCCTTCTCTTCAACGATTACCGCATTTGGATTGAAGCTGTGGTTGCACATATCAATGAGAGGAAGCAGCACAGGGACATCAGCACCAGAGCCATCCTGAGGTGTCTTGCAACGCAAACGAAAAGCCCGGGAAGATACTGCAGACATGGCCCATCCAAGAGAAGAGGCGTTCACATCTTGGCCAGAAAATGGATGATCCCCAGGGTCTACGTCCTCAAGCACAGATTTGACATCTTTCTCAAAGGCAAGAAGGAACCGGCATCGTTTATTTACCTGATAAGGAATAGAGAATGCATGTTTAAAGCTCAGCATCAGGCAAGGTTAAATTCACAATACTTCATATCAAATGGAAGGATGTTAGGAGTTATATAGACAAAGTTCTGTTACCTGATGAACAAGAGGAGAATACTGTAGGTTTTTTATGTCTTCGCCAGAAAAGAAAATGGGTATGTCGAAAGCTTCTGGCAAATTGCTGATGTATGGCCACCAAAGAGAACCAGTTTTGGCTCTTTCTTGAAGAAGTTTCAATCCCAATCTCATTGCCCACAGTTCCTCTGCCACATGCTCCCGAGATATTTGCTCATTGTAAAACGGAATCTAGAGTAAATATGCAAGCATGCAAGTCATCTCTTATATCGTAAGAAAACTTTACTGCATCAGAGTGAAGGTACACTAGATGAATGATGTTCAAATAATATCTCATGCTTCCGGATTGGATGAACTTCTGGGAAATGAGATTTAACATGAAAATAAGAATTTGAAAGGGCACTATAAAGCTACATATTTGTATCATCCTTTGCATTTTTGACATTAATAATCCCTTCCAAAGATTAATTGACAAACTCAAATCAACTCGTAGTGGAGGTCAAAACAAAGAGTCAGATCTCATTTATTTATATTTGACATATCAAAAAGAAATTCCAACCAAAGAAAATCTCGATATTGAAAAGATTTAATTTTTTTAAATATGCAATCCTACACCTCCCATACGAACCAATAAATCCCCAAGGTTCACAGATTTGCAGCTTCACACGAAATAAGAAATGGAAAACTGATTTTATTATTGACTAAGCATGACTCATGAATGAAAATATTATTGACTAAACCTGACTCATGGGTGAAAGTGAAAGTGAAAGTCGCCAAACACGGGCTGGAGATAAGCGGACTCGAACCGCTGACATCCGCCACATTTTGGCGCATGCTTCACTTCTTTGGCCCGGGGGGTTGGGGGAAGATAAGGCATTATCAGACAAACACGGCGTATGTTTGAGACAGATAAATTAGAAAAAAAAAACGTCCTGAAGCCAAATTACATAATATAAAGCAGATTATATGCCATTTTCACTTTGCATTCCCTCTCTTCCTCTCTAGTTTTCTCTCCCTTACACTCTCACAATGGTCACCATGTCCTTCCGTAATGATGTCGATATCCAATATGAAAAAAAATCCATCAATATATCTACAAATCCTCATGGGACTTATCATCACAAGACTGTGGTCCATGACTGAACTTTCAACCTGAATCCACTCATCATCAGGCATCGATGAAAACAAACAATGAGCGAGAGAAAATCACCTGGAACACGTTTAACTAACTGGGAGAGCGGGGAATCGGGCCGGTCGGCGCAGTCGTCATCTTGGGACCACCGAAGGCGCAGAGTCAGACGTTCAGGGAGGGCGACGAGCCGCGAGCCCCTCGGGATGTCCTCCGACGCGACCAGAGTGAGTCCATACTCGCCGCCATCGGCGATCTTGAGCTTCGGGTGGACGAATCCCCCCTCCCGCTTCACCCAGCCGACGAGGTCCTGCGGGAAGGGGGCGATGCGGGGGTAGCGCGATGCGGAGACCGTCAGAGCGCGGCGGTGTCTCAGGGAGCAGGTAGAAGAGCTGAGGAAGTCCGCCGTTGCCGTCAGCAGCAACTTCGAAGCTGTGGCGCTCGCCATGGCCGGAGCTTGGAGGTCACTGGGATCGGATATCCATCGCCGAGTTGGTTGGACGGGAAGTGGAAGGAGGAGGCTCCGAACATAAACGTGTTTCTGGTTACTCGCGAGTAAGATTACCGCTATGGTATTAAGAACCAACAAAGCTCGACCTAAATGGGCCGTCTTCCCGATCAATGGAATCTCTCCGGAAGCATTTCCAAACACTTCAGCTTTTTCAGAGTCAAGATCATTGTCAACGGTCAATATTTCCATTTAAGGCGCACGTGACTCCAATCTCACGCAGCTGCACGTTTTCACCACCCGAAGGACGATGGGGGCGGCGGCGTAGATGATGACGTCAGATTAAGATGGAGAGCGAACCGACCACAGACACGTGGACTATCGAAAAGCGGCCAACTGGCGTTCAGAATGGGGGGTACACCGGCCAGGCAGGCCACTTTAGACTTTCCAAGCCCATTGGACTTGTTTTTATATGATTTTTAAAAACATATAAAATTGGCACAAATGGGCCCGATATGGGCTCGACATAAGGGTCCTCACGGGCCGAGAAGCTCACAAGCCTACCAGGGCCCAAGCATATTTTTAATTTTACTAATTTAAGCCTGAAAACAAAAAGGCATAAAGGAAAAATAGGTACAAATGGGCCCCCATACCTACTTGGGCTGATTCAGGCCTAAAGTTCATAGTCCTTTTTTCTCTCGGCCCGGGCGCAGCCCGCGCCCGGCCCGTTATAAGCCACAATTAACCCGGGATATTATATATTTTTGGTTACATATAATTTGATTTACCAAAAATAATGAGCGCCGGTTAGTCACGTCACTGAAGCGGGGGTAAAGAAAGACGCGAGTTCGTGGTTGTGGTAAGCTCACCGCAGGTTACCGTAGGTGGGAAATAATTTATTTATTTGATTATTTTATTTTCCGATTTGAATAAGGGAGGGCCGCTGCTGGTCTACTCTCAGTTCCCCGCTGAGCGAAGCTGTCACCGGCGAGGGCCACCTCCTCTCTCCGCTCCGCCGCCGCAGCTTCTCTCCTCGCCGGCATTTTAAATCCGAGTCGCCGGCGTGATGACCGGAGATGGCGCTGTCAGAGGAGGGAGGAGCTGACGGGTGGGGAGGGGAATCTGTGTGCTTGGTGGGGGGTTGAAGAGAAGAGGGGAAGAACGGCAGGTTAGGGTTTTCTTTGCTCCTCGGTTGCAATCTCGGGTAGGGATTCCGGAAGTTTTGCTGGATCGTGGGGTTTTGGTCTCGGTAAGGCGTTGAATTTTTTGCGGTTAATGATTTTTTTGTTTTGGATGCATTGGGTGTAAGAGCGGGGATGGCCGATCTGCGTGGGGGGGAGGGAGGGGAGGAGGCGGTGGTTGATGTTGTGTCTGGAGGGTGGAGTGGGAGGGGGCCGGGGGCCGGTGCGGGGGAGCCGGCATCGCAGATGACGGCGTCGGGGCCGTTCAAGGGGGAGGGCGGGAAGGCGGGGGGCTTGAGGAGGAGGGCTTCAATCAAGCAGAGCATGGAGACGGACGACCTCATTAACCTACTGCACGGTTCGGATCCGGTGAAGGTGGAGCTCAATCGGCTTGAGAATGAAGTCAGAGGTGGGAATGCACTTCGGATCCGATGGCCTTCTGTATATTTCTTGATTTCTAGGTGTTTTCTTTTCTTTTCTTTTCATGAGGGCTGTGAGTTTTCAGACAAAGAGCGGGAATTGGGGGAAGCGCAGGCAGAAATAAAGGCGTTGAGATTGTCAGAGCGCGCGAGAGAGAAGGCTGTTGAAGAGGTTTTTTTTTTCTCCCATATCTTCAGTTCAATGCAGCAGTTTTTTATCTCCTTTTAATCATTGAAAACCACTCCTTTGTATTCATTCATTTCCCTTAGTTAAGGCGAAAAACATACGGCCTACCCTCTGCTTAAATTGTTTTGATGCAAAATATGAATTTTCTTAATTTCTTGAAAAGTGAAGCAAGAAGTTAGATCGAGTGCACTTCTAAAAATCGTCATCAATTGGATTTTGATACATCTAGTTCTAAACATCTTCTGTGCCTCTTTTTTTCTCCCCCCATTTTTCATTCGGATGCTTTAGGGAACTTTGGAATGCTTGGTCTATTTATGCGATTGTCATATCTTTCTCTTGCGATTTATTTTTTTTAACGTTCTCTTATCAATTTCGAGTAAAGATCTACCTGTTTTGATGTTATATTTGTAGAGATTGTATAGTTGGACAATCAGGCTACTCTTCCTTGTTTGAATTTTGAATTGTCAAACATATTTATCTGCTTCTTTTTAGATGTGGGGTCTAGTTCGTTTTAAAATTGTAGCTTTTCTACCTAGTCCTTCAAGAGGCTGCTAACCAATACCAGTTTTCTTTTCATGCCGTGTTATTTCTAGCTCACTGAGGAATTAACAAAGCTGGATGAGAAGCTCAAACTGACTGAATCTCTTCTTCAAAGCAAGGTAGTCTACGGGGCTTTAATTTGCTCTGATTTATTAGCATGCAATCATATGTGTTGCACAATTCCTTCTTTTAATTTTTTACTTGAAAGTTGGTTATGGTTCGAGGATATTTGTTTCTAAATTGGTTAGATCTTAGTAACGTGATTTCAATGGAGCATATCAGCTAAAACAGGTTTTCTGTCTTTATGTGCTTGTGCTTTTAATCATAACTGGATCTGGAAGCTCTTTATGTACATACACCAACATCAGAAAAAAAATGTTGCATGCATAACTTGCTGCTATGACCAAATGCTGTTAACTGCATTCATCTTTAGGATTACCATTTGTTGATTAAGTTAACAAATCGATTATTAGAAGCATCTTAGATGCTTACATTTTTATAATAATAAAATTGTTGACTTTGAATCAAAAGTTGATTTTTTTTATCTAATTTATTCTTGGCATACTTTTTAAACCTGCTCGTGCAGCCTTTCTTGATCGGATAAAAACTTGGAAATAAGAAAGGATGGGTTCTCTATTCCAAGATTATAATTTTTTTCCGAAACTTTAATCAATATCACGATGGCTATCGTCATCGCTACACTCGTTAGCCTCTCCAGTTGAGCCCGTAAATCAAGTACTGGATATTGTGTGCAAAACTCCCTGTCAGTTTTTTATCCCTAGTCAGTTCTTTCATTGGACTCTTCCAACTTTTAGATATATTCTCACTCAAAAAAAGAAACAGTTAGGACTGCGTGGAAGTCTGTTCCTTGGAATGAGCTGAATGCATGAAAATTTGCGAGTTTTTTTACCATAATGTATGAATGCAGGTCTTACTGTTTCCGCAGTTAACAAATAAAAATCACTTTGGACTCAGTGGTCAATTTTCAAGAAACTTCGTTCTCCCTTGTTTTTTCTTTTTACTTTCTATCAAAGTAGTTTTTTTTTGTGGGGACTTGTGCAGAATCTTGAAATCAAGAGAATTAATGAGGAGAAGAAAGCATCAATGGCTGCTCAATTTGCTGCAGAAGCCACACTTAGAAGGGTTCATGCTGCACAAAAAGATGATGACATGCCACCAATCGAAGCAATCCTTGCACCTCTTGAGGCAGACCTCAAGATTGCACGGCAAGAGGTTTAATCTTTCTTAATCCCAAGAACTTATTTACATGAATTTACGGTTGTTTATGATTTAATTTAACCTTATTTATTGACCATTGCAATGTTGTTCCTTTTCAAAGAGCTCAGCGACATCCCTTTTCTGTTTTTTATGCTTTAATTTACATTTTCTTATTATTTACTTTATTGATCATGGCAATGTAGTTTTTAAAGAAAGCTGAAATACATTACATATTTTGGTGCCCAACAACGCCCCCCCTTCCCAAAGAGAGAGGCCTCTTTTTTTGGAATCCGTCAACGTGTGAATTTTAATAAACAATTTACACCTACGGACAGACATTGATAGAGCTCGAGAACCGCCATTTTCCAAGAAAAGACCTTTTCCCTCGAAGAATTAGTGTGTCTTGTGGTATCAACTGCTGATCTTTCTTCCAAGATTCTGTCTGTTTTCCTTCAATGGTTGCAAACTTTGCATTTCCCATGGACTGATGGGAATCACAAATTGCATGCTTCAAAGTTCCTGATATTCTCTACTAGTTGGGCACTTAGACAATAAATGTTCTATTGCTTCTTCTTTTTTGACACATCAAACAGTTTGTATTCAAGTCTCCAACCGTGCCTTTCTGTTGTGACTCTTTTTTGAGTCAATGAGGCAATTTGGAAAGTCGTACCTCCTGAGATTTTTCGTTCATCTTAGTCCTTCCTCTGCCTTACTATTCTATGATTAAACTCTGATGTCATACAAGATAACTGGTCTCCGTCCTCAATTGTTTATTTCACTTTTTTAGGACTACATTTTTACGTTTTTTTTTTTTTTGGGGGGGGGGGGTGCGGTGGGGTGGGGTACAAGATCCTACGAATTTCAACTTTATCAAGAAACTATATATTTCGTTTATTGTTAATATCTACTGTTTTTCTCTTGCAGATTTCAAAGCTTCAGGATGACAACAAAGCATTAGATCGACTGACAAAATCTAAGGAAGCAGCTCTGCTTGAGGCTGAAAGGACTGTGGAAATTGCTTTAGTCAAAGCCTCTATGGTGGATGATCTCCAGAACAAGAATCAGGAGTTAATGAAACAGATTGAAATTTGTCAGGTAGTTTGACTTGGCTTTAAACTTAAAACTGTGAAATGCCTTTTGCAGATGCTTTTTTCTTTGATCAACTTTTTTCCAAACATTTTTTAGGAAGAAAACAAAATCTTGGATAAATTGCATCGGCAAAAGGTTGCTGAAGTTGAAAAGCTGAGCCAAACTGTACGGGAGCTGGAAGAGGCTGTTCTTGCCGGTGGTGCAGCTGCGAATGCTGTGAGGGATTACCAGCGGAAGATACAGGAGATGAATGTAATGCTTTTGACTTTTCGGGAAACTGTCATTGGATGAAAAATCTGAGATCTGTGATGTACTAAAAGCTGTTTCCTCGCAATGTATCATTAAAACATGCTTTCTTGTTTTTGTGCTTTCATTCAGGAGGAGAAGAAAACTCTTGACCGTGAGTTGGCCCGCGCTAAGGTAACCGCAAATAGGGTTGCGGTAGTTGTGGCCAATGAATGGAAGGATGCTAATGACAAAGTGATGCCTGTAAAGCAATGGCTTGAAGAAAGAAGATTCTTGCAGGTGGACACTTCAAACACTCGCACTTTCTCTCACCACCTTGTCAGCATGTGGCATGGTTTATCATACTATGATGCTCTTAGTTTCTACCTCGTGATGCGTATGGTGTCTATTGCTGAAAGAACCTGAATTGAGCTTCTGACACAGGGAGAGATGCAGCAACTTCGAGATAAGCTTGCAGTTGCAGAGCGCACTGTTCGATCCGAGGCTCAGCTTAAAGTACTTATCCTGTGATGATCTCTGCTCTTTCTTTTGTTTGTTTAACAGAAGGGACCCTAAAACATATTCCTTATCTTTATCTCAGGAGAAGTTTCAATTGCGCTTGAAAATTCTAGAGGAGGGATTAAGGATGGCTTCCAGCACTAACATCCGGTCTACAGTAGAGACGAGGAATACGAGCAATGGGTCCTCACGCCGCCAGTCTCTCGGCGGTGCCGACAGCATCCCCAAGCTTTCTTCGAATGGATTCTTGTCCAAGAGAGCTCCTGCCTCTCACTCCAGATCCTCTCTCTCTGCAAGCACTCTCACGGTCTTGAAGCACGCCAAAGGGGCGTCGAAATCATTCGATGGTGGTAGTAGATCACTGGATAGGAGCAAGGTCCTTCCTAATGGAATGGGCCCGAGCTTCTTGCTGAACAAATCCACTGATGCCACCAGAGAGAAGCCTGCCCAGAGTAGCTGCAAAGATAACCCAGAAGAGAAGCTGACCGATTTCCCCACTGTCGAAACAGAGGATACAGTGTCTGGCCTCTTGTACGACATGCTTCAGAAGGAGGTCATAACATTGAGGAAGGCTTGCCATGAGAAAGATCAAAGCCTGAAAGACAAAGATGACGCCATTGAGGTTAAGAAATCGATGATCTCTCCTATTAATTCTCAGTATCATACCTTCATGGCCTTTAAAATCCTTATTGTGCTCCAGATGCTGGCGAAGAAGGTGGATACACTCACCAAGGCAATGGAGGTCGAGGCGAAGAAAATGAGAAGGGAAGTCGCCGCCATGGAGAAGGAGGTTGCAGCCATGAGAGTGGATGAGCATGAAAGCAGAGCAAGGAGGCTCGGGAGCTCCAAGGGCTCTGTGAGTGCTTCTCAGTTACTCCCTGGGAGGTATGCGTTCTGTGGCTACTTCCTCTGCTTCAGTGCTTTTGCTGGTATTGAATTCGCCGAAGGCTAATGCTAGATAGTTATGTGCCTCCCTTTTGACTTTGGGCCTATCGAGCAGGCAATCACTGCTACTTATCTTCAGGAGCACCTGGGTGTTTTCCTTCCTATGGAATCAGGGTAGATGGCCCTGTGGGCTCGGACCCAGGGCTGACCCGCTCAGTCCCCTAGCTAGTTGACTCTGCCTGGTTTCCTTTTCAGGCACCTGGGTGTGTTTCCTCTCACTCTCTCTCTAGGCTCTCTAGGTGCATGTAGAGGGGAGGGTTGGGCCTTTCCAGTGGTTTAGGTGTCCGGCTTGGAGTCCACTTGGCCTACTTCTTGGGGGGAGTCTTGGGCGGCCCTTTTACATCTCTCTTCATGGCTTAGCTTTTAATTTGAGTTCATCAGTTTCAGATATATTTAGCTTCTTCTAATGGACCTGCATATGCTTGAAGATAATGGTTTGATCCCAGGTTACATCCCAGGCTTCGCACTAATTCTGTCAAAAAATAATCTCTAGAATCTCATGCATCTATCTCTCTACTTTCATGTGACAAAGCTTTTTTTTATTTTTTATTTTTTATTTTTTTATTTTTTTTTAAAAAAGCTCCTCCACTCTCTCTCTCTCTCTCTCATACTCTCTCTCTATCTATATGTCTACCTCTCTATCTCTCTCTCTCTATTCATGCGGTAGATGTAAACTTAGTGCCAGATTTTCCTGGTGATGCTGACTTTGTAATGTTGACATGCAGAACATTGCCGCGAAGTGGGCTGACCCGGAACCATCAATGAAATCAGCCAGATCTTCTCTCCACTTGGTCTTCTTCTTCTTTTTCTTCTTCAAGAGTTTAACACGGGCCCACGATAGAAACCTGGGAGTGGGAGTGGGCCGTCGCGGTTGCTGGGGGGGCGGGTGGGGTTTGGATTCGGAGGCGGGCTTTTTAACCTGTGGGAGGAGGGAGTGGCTGGGGGGTGGGGCTCTCCCATTTGTTGGGACGTGATGGATGGGGTTGTTGCTGTAGCTGTATAGCCAGCTAGCTTGCTGTTTGTAATGCAATCGGTAGTTTGATGGGTGTTGCTGTTTCAGCCCTTGTCAATCTCCTCTCTTCTTCCTACGTCTTCCCCCTGGATGTGTTTTAAGAGAGAGAGAGAGAGAGAGAAAGAGAGAGAGAGAGAAAGAGGTTTCAATTAGATCTTCCCTTAAACCTTTGTTTAATGGGTGTTGTCGTTCCAGGCCTTGTGAATATCCTCTCTTCTTCCTAAGTCTCTCCCTGGATGTGTTTAAGTGTTAGAGAGATATATATATATATATATATAGAGAGAGAGAGAGAGAGAGGTTGCAGTTAGATCATCCTTTCAACCTGTTGTTTAATGGGTGTTGCTGTTCCAGCCCTTGTGAATATCCTCTCTTCTTCCTAAGTCTCTCCCTGGATGTGTTTAAGTGTTAGAGAGAGAGATATATATATATATATATATAGAGAGAGAGAGAGGTTGCAGTTAGATCATCCTTTCAACCTGTTGTTTAATGGGTGTTGCTGTTCCAGCCCTTGTGAATATCCTCTCTTCTTCCTAAGTCTCTCCCTGGATGTGTTTAAGTGTTAGAGAGAGAGATATATATATATATATATATAGAGAGAGAGAGAGGTTGCAGTTAGATCATCCTTTCAACCTGTTGTTTAATGGGTGTTGCTGTTCCAGCCCTTGTGAATATCCTCTCTTCTTCCTAAGTCTCTCCCTGGATGTGTTTAAGTGTTAGAGAGAGAGATATATATATATATATATATAGAGAGAGAGAGAGGTTGCAGTTAGATCATCCTTTCAACCTGTTGTTTAATGGGTGTTGCTGTTCCAGCCCTTGTGAATATCCTCTCTTCTTTCCACCCCCCGGGATTTGTTTAAGAGATGGCGAGAGAGAGAGAGAGAGAGAGAGAGAGAGAGAGAGAGAGGGTTCAATGAGATCTTCTTTCCAGCCTTATTCTGAAGGTCTGGTCTGAAAAACATTGGGCTCCCAGCTACAAAGTAACATGACCACCTGTGCCCTTCTACTCCCATTATATTTTTTAAAATGGTGATGACTATTGAGGTACAACTAACATAATGTCCCGATATTAGGGGGGTGACCATATCCTTCCGAGCCATAATGTCTGATATAGTAAAAATAAATATTATTAAATGGACTTTGACAAGTTGACCTTCCTATGAGGTCTAAGCTCAGCCTATGTTAGAGCACAGACAAATAGTAGACGTGTCGGGTTGAAGGTAGCTGACAAAAAGTGGGGCCCACCGCCACATGACCAGCCAGAAAGAATCTTCCGGGTATTGTGAAGATTTTCTATTATGGACATTTTTTAATCAATTGTATTTTAAAATAGGGTTTTAATAAAAAAATCCGTTATATGATGGTAAAGTAATGTCCTGGGTGATTCATCGGTATCGAGGAGGGTGTTTAAAAAAAATTCTATAATAAACGTACTTTTCTCAAGTTTTGATTTTTAGAGGCGTCTATACATAACAACGTTCGACAGTCCCTAATGGGCCGACCCATCCATGGCCCAGCGCGTGGTCTAATGGGCCTGTAGAGGATCGATGGGGCCTACACAAAAGCTAACCGCCGCCGGGCATAATCGCACTCTCCTGTAACCGTTTTTTCGGTTCTCCCTGATCATCCAGAGAGCTCGTCCTCCCCACTCCCGCAGAAGGTGCGATCTTCTCCGGCAGGCCCGTCCACATTTTTCTGCTCCAGGGGGAGAGATCTAGGCGATCTTTCCAGGCCGAAAATGGCGACCATGGAGAGCTTGATCGGGCTGGTGAATCGGATACAGAGGGCGTGCACGGTCCTGGGTGACCACGGCGGGGAAGGATCGTCGCTTCCCACCCTCTGGGAGGCGCTTCCCTCCGTGGCTGTCGTCGGGGGGCAGGTGTGGAGGATGGATCGCCGTTGGATGTTGTCTTCGTTGTTCCCACCGTGTTCTTCTTCTTCCTTTGTTATCATGCTTTTTTCTTTGTCTTTTTTTTTGGGTTTCAGAGTTCGGGGAAATCTTCTGTGTTGGAGAGTATTGTCGGGAGGGACTTCCTTCCTCGAGGATCTGGTAATGCGGCTTGAATGGGGACGTGATGCCGCTTCTCTGTTTGTCTCTGAGTTTTGTTTTCCAGTGTGATCTTATGAGAGGTTTTTGATGGAACATAATTTGTGGGATTCATATGTAGGGATCGTGACAAGGAGGCCTCTCGTTTTGCAACTTCATAAGACGGATGAAGGACAGAATGAGTACGGAGAATTCCTGCATGCCCCCAGGAAACGGTTCAATGATTTTGGTTCGTGAAACTTTCGACACTTTTATTTATTAACCAAATATTTCCGTTAATATAGTGGTGGGATTTTGACTGCGTGCGAGGTTTTAGCGACTGTCTTTTTCATTTTCCGGTTTTCGCATCAATGACGAAAACAGAAAAATAGAAAAAAAAAGTATTGTGTTTCTTTAGTCATCCGATTGCCGCATTCAATCGTCAGTCCGCGTCGCATAATTATGATTCAGTGATAGAAATTTCTATGCTGCATGTCACCTATAGTGTCTTAGTACGTCTTTAGATTTAGACACGGATGTCGAATCAAGAAATAACCCAGAAGAGTTAATCTGCTTACAGAAACAAAATAAATTCGAATAAATTTAGCTCCAAATGCACTATTTAAATATAAGTTTCAATTAATGTATTTCAATTTATTTATTTTAATCAGCATCTATTCGTAAGGAGATTCAGGACGAAACTGATCGGATCACCGGAAAGTCTAAGCACATATCTAACATTCCAATTCACTTGAGCATTTATTCTCCTCATGGTACGTTCATAAATCCAATAATTTTATATTCGATTTTTTTTTGCATCTGAATAATATGTTTTTGCGTTGTGGCCTTGGGCCGTGGCTTTTGTGGCCGCCCTTCTACTAATTCCTCCAGCGGAAGCTAATCCGCCTCCTCTAATATCCTTTCCTTGGTTCCCGGCGAATAGCTGCGACCTCGGCTGCCTGCTGATACGCATGAAAAACAGCAGCATGGTGTGAGGGTCATTATGTTTCTTTGTAATGATGAATTCTGTGCAGATGAAATTTTAAACCAAGACCGATCATTCGTGCATCAACTTTGAACTTACATAAATTAAAACAGTCCTCTTGGAACTATGACTTCTGTTATTCTAAGGATTTTTTATGTTTGGAGTTCCGTTGTTTAATTTCAGTTATCAGCTTAAAAATCAAATAAAATAAAATGAGAGAAATTGAAATATGGAGGAATCTTTGAATTGAGAACTAATCATCTTGACAAAGTATTGAACTAGGAAGAGTAATAGAAAAATTATTAGAACTGTAAGAAAAAAAGTGAGAACATATGCAGGTCACACGTGGAGGATGCTCGGGCAAATGATAGCCTATTAATGTTCCATGTTTCTTTCATTAACTATCTTGGTTACCATACTGTGATGTATCAACATATTGCAGTTGTGAATTTAACACTCATCGATCTTCCTGGAATGACGAAGGTTGCTGTAGGTAATTTCCCCTTATTTTCCCTTTTACGGTATATTTTTGCAGTCAGTAGATTTTTTCCCTCTGTTTTGATTTACGCTTCCTGTTTGAAATTCTTCAGAGGGACAACCCGACAGCATTGTAGGGGATATTGAAAATATGGTCCGTTCATATGTTGAAAAGGTTGGAATTCCAGTGAAAAGGTTTTTATTTAATGTTTGCCTTGTATGGTTTCTAGATTTTAATACTAAGACTACCAAATTCACATGAATCAGACAAATGTATAGATTTCATGTGCCTTGATCCCTTTCCTAATTCTGCTGAGATACACCTTTTGATATTTACTTTCCTAATTGTAGCCTAATTGCATTATACTGGCAATTTCTCCTGCTAATCAAGATATCGCCACTTCTGATGCGATAAAACTTGCCAGAGAAGTAGATCCATCAGGTATTGTTAAGATTTCTGATAAATTTACTATTCAATTTCAATGCAATTCAATACAAGATGCTCTTATGACATTGTACAGCATCATACATATATGTACACAGATATGTGCATATATATGAATTTTAGTCACATGTACACATATTTTCCCTCTACTCATGGTTTCTTTAGGTGAGAGAACATTTGGAGTCTTAACGAAACTTGATCTTATGGACAAGGGAACGAATGCCTTGGACGTACGTTCTTGACTCTTTTTAATAATATTATTGTAATTTTAAGAATAGTATTATTTCAAATTTGATATATTTTTTTTTATATATGTCCGGTGATGACAAAAAAATTACTATTTGTGTCATCTGTCTTTAGGTTCTTGAAGGAAGATCATACCGTCTGCAACATCCTTGGGTTGGAATTGTCAATCGCTCACAAGCTGATATTAACAAGAATGTTGACATGATTGTTGCTAGGAGGAAGGAGCGCGAGTATTTCTCTACTAGTCCTGAGTATGGACACCTAGCAAGTAAAATGGGTTCCGAGTATCTTGCAACACTTCTTTCTAGGGTAAGAGACAATAAGCCAAAAATTTCATTATTCATGCTTCACTATTTTGTATTATTGATGACCACGCCTTTGCAGCATTTGGAGTCTGTGATCCGGGCACGTATACCAAGCATTTTATCGCTAATCAACAAAACAGTCAATGAACTTGAAGAAGAGTTGAACAGAATTGGGAGGCCTATTGGAGTTGATTCCGGGGTAGAAGCTGATAAACATAATATTTTTAACCAATCTCGGCTCTGTCATACTACATTATATTCAAGTACTTATTTTTGTTTCTCTAACAGGCTCAGCTTTACACTATATTAGAGATGTGCCGTGCATTTGATCGTGTATTCAAAGAGCATTTAGATGGAGGGTAATTGACTGACAAACCTTTGTTTTTTTTTGTTGTTAATGGGAACTATGGATACCTCCCCCTCCCCCGGTACATACTAACAGTTGAAGTCATTTTTTACGACTCCTGAGTCTGATCCGGTCAACTTTGCGCATTGGATCTTGCTTGCCTAAATGACCAGGAAATAAAATACTTTAAATGCATTTATTGGAAAAAAACGATGTTTTTCGTTTTTTAATTTTTCTTAGGATATTAATTGCCTGACCGATCTTCGTTGGGCATGAATGCCATGATAAATGATCTATTTGCCTTTCATCCTTGTGGAGAATCGCGTTGAAAAACCTACTCTGGTACTTTAGATCACCTACTTAATGAGAGAATTTGGATTTTGATGATCTTAACCTTTGATTGTCTGGGTCTCTTTTAAAGAAAAATGGGGATTTCGCTTGCCTCTTGCTCATTCTCCTAATCAGGCTGCGGTTTTTGGACAATCCCTCATGCAACAAATTCGATTTTTAAACTGTGAGGCGTCGTTGAATATATGTTGCGATTCCATTTGAACTGTCGCCAATGGGGAGCTTTTCATAAACAGCTCATTTATGAATTTTTTTAATAATATTGTGTTATATATCACCGGAGTTCTCGATGCCTATAATGACCATGCGCTCGAATATTAGACTGATCACTCACGGAGGAGTTTCATAATAATTTGGTGAATGATTACAACAGTCTTACTTTTTTATTTTTATTATTATTATTATTATGTCTGCATGGTTACTAAGAGTTTAATTAATTTTATTTTTTCTGTTCTAGGCGGCCTGGTGGGGACAGAATATATGGGGTCTTCGATAACCAGCTCCCTGCTGCGCTGAAAAAGCTCCCATTCGAACGACACCTCTCTTTGCAAAATGTTCGGAAGGTGGTGTCCGAAGCTGATGGGTATCAGCCCCATCTTATTGCCCCGGAGCAAGGCTACAGAAGGCTCATCGAGGGCTCCCTCGGCTTCTTCAAGGGCCCAGCCGAAGCATCCGTTGACGCGGTACGGCCGCTAACTGCTCTCTCTCGCTCTCTCTCCTCTCGTGCTCACCATGAAATCCTTTCTTCAGGTTCACTTTGTGTTGAAGGAGCTCGTCCGCCAGTCCATCAGCGAGACTCAGGTGACCCACCCTCTAAAAATCTCTCCTTTCAGCCTCCATTCGCTGCAACCCCACAGTTTTTCCTCTTTTGGAGAGTTCTCCGCGCGATTACCATCTTCCAGGTTTCCATTTATATCCCCCCTGCAAGGGACCTTTCTTTGGCAGGAGCTCAAGAGATTCCCTACTCTGCGAGCTGACATAGCAGCTGCGGCAAACGAAGCCCTGGAGAGGTTCCGCGAGGATGGCCGGAGAACGGTGGTCCGCCTTGTGGAGATGGAGGCCAGCTATCTCACGGCAGATTTCTTCCGGAAGCTCCCCCTTGAGCCCGACAAGGGCGGCAACCCCGCAGCCCCCGCCGCGGAGAGATACGTCGACGCCCATCTCAGGAGGATCGGTAACGAAACCCTTGAACGCACGCGCATGTGGATCACGTCGTGTTCTTGAACGGTCGTTTGACTTCTTGTCGGATGACCCACGTGGCACCCGGCCGGGGTCTTGTCTCAGGATCCAACGTTTCATCTTACGTGGGAATGGTGTGCGAGATTCTGAAGAACTCCGTCCCCAAGGCCGTTGTTTACTGCCAGGTCCGCGAGGCGAAACGGTCGATTCTCGATCGCTTCTACGCCCAAGTGGGACAGAGAGAGGTCTGTGCTAACCCTACACCCGACTTATTTATATTTTATTTATTTACTTATTTATGATGAGGTGGATATCTAGCCAAGTTATTTGTGAGCTCAGAGTCAACGCTGGGTCCACTTTATGATCACACCTCTTTGTCTATGATAATAAATACAGGACCGCTCTTAGACAAGGAAGGAGAACTCATAAATGAGCATATTTATTTCCTTTTCATTTCCTTTTAACAGCGTTTAATTCGAGTGATTTCGGATGGTCCTGGAGAATCTTGTTCGAATTTAGGAAGCATTTCCTCAGTTTTTTTTTTAACAATCTTCGTTTAATAATAATAATAATTATTATTATTATTATTTCCATGAGGTTAATTTATAAAGAAAATTGTGTTTCTCTATTATCCCCAGTCCAAAAACTGAGCAACTCTGGATGATCTTCGCGGATTTGGTGTGAAATGAAAGAAATGTTGGGAAATATTACATGGTCTAAATTTGTAATTATTTATTTTAATTTCCAGAAGAAAGAGCTAGGGACGATGTTGGACGAGGACCCGGCCCTGATGGAGAAGAGGGGGGCCATTGCTCGGCGACTGGAGCTGTACAAATCCGCTAGGGATGAGATCGACTCCGTCTCGTGGAAGTGAGGATCTTATTACCACGCAGGCAATACTTCTATTTTTTATTTTTTCGATCTTTCGGTAACAAGTCCACGCGTCGCTGCTTTGACTACCTCCTTTTCTGTGTTTTTATTGATATAATCTGTAAACTTTTATCCTATTTATTGCTTGACGTGGGTGGGCATTGTCCAACCCAAGGTGAACTTAGGTCTTTTTAGGTTAGCCATTTTTGGGGGCTCAAAAGTGACCGAGAGAGAGGGAGGTAGGGAGGGAGAGAGCGAGAGAGAGGGAGAGAGGGAGAGAGAGAGGGAGGTGGGGGAGAGAGCGAGAGAGAGAGAGAGGAGAGAGAGGAGAGAGAGCGAGAGAGGGAGAGAGAGGGAGGGAGAGAGAGAGAGAGAGGAGGGAGAGAGGGGAGAGAGGGAGAGAGAGAGAGAGCGAGAGGGAGAGAGCGAGAGAGGGAGAAAGAGAGAGAGAGAGAGAGAGAGAGAGAGAGAGAGAGCGAGAGGGAGAGAGAGAGGGAGGGAGAGAGAGAGAGAGAGAGAGAGAGAGAGAGAGAGAGAGAGAGAGAGAGAGAGAGAGAGAGAGAGAGAGAGAGAGAGAGAGAGAGAGAGAGAGAGAGAGGAGGACTTAGATTGACAAAATGTGAGCACACGATCATGATTTTATTTTTAGTTCATGGCGTTGTTGTTAAAATTTTATCTCAAATATTTTTACATATTGAGTTTAAAAATATGTAGATGCCGACAACACTAATTAACTCCTCTCATGCATTTTATTTTACTGTAGTTTAACTTTATAAGACTCTTTATTGCATATCATAGACAGCTGCGAGACCCACGACGTCAATGCAGAGTCTCTGTAGGCGACCGGGCCCGGGCTTTTTGTTTATATGAATCCCAAGGATTCTCTCTCAACAAGGGAACAAAGGAGGGGAACCCAAGAATTTCTCCATCACGAGCAGAGACCGTCTTCTTCGCCTGCTGGGTTTCCATCAGCGGCCCAGGGACGAGGCAGCCAATGAAGCGCTGCCAAATGTCCGTCGGTTCATGAAGTCACTGTCACGTAGCCGTAGATATGCTCCTCTCTCTCTCTCTCTCTCTCTCTCGCTCGCTCTCTCTCTCTTTCTCTCTCTCTATCAATCTATCAATCTATCTCTATCTCTTTCTTTCTCCACTATCTCTCTGAGGGGTGTGGGGAACGTAGGTGTCCGGAAAATGGAAGGTAGGGGAAAGGGGTGTGAGGACTTGGAGAGGAGGGGAGAAGAGGTGATGGAAGAGGAGGAGATTAAGAAGAAGATCTCGTGCCACCCCATGTTTGCCGTCTCCAAGGCGACCCATCTCCACTGTTTGAAGGTATTCTTTCATGAGTTTCTCTTTTTCTTCTTGTTCTTCGATCTCCCATCTTCTTTCTCTTCCTGTTCTTAGATCTCCCTTCTCCTTTTTCTTTTTCTACTTCTTCTTGGATCACCCTTCGTCTGCTTCTTCTTCTTCTTCTTCTTCATCTTCTACTTAGATCACCCTTCTTCTGCTTCTTCTTGTTTTCTTCTTCATCTTCTTCTTGGATCACCCTTCTTCTGCTTCTTCTCGTTTTTCTTCTACTTCCACAGATCACGCTTCTTCTGTCTCTGCTTCTTCATCTTCTTCATCTTCTTCTTGGATCACCCTTCTGCTTCTTTTGTCTCTGCTGCTTCCTCTTCTTCTGCACATCAGATCATCCGCTTTCTTAGATCACCAGCTACCTTTTTCATCTTCGGTCGCCCTTCTTCTTCAATCACCTTTCTCCTTCTCCCTCCTGCATGCACACACCCATACACATCATCGCTTTTCTGACGAAGCCAGCGCTTCCCTCTGTCGGATGAAAAACTCGAACCTCGAGAAAGATATGCTCCGGCGACCAGGAGGCAGCGAGCTCCGACCTGGACCAGCTTCAAGGACCCAGAGCTAAACAGCCGGCGAACCCTTCAGACCTCGACCTGTTCATGGTAATCACCTCCTCCATAGTCCGATATCTTCAGCGTAAAGCCCTCACGCTTTTAGAAGGCAGATAACTCGCCCACCCCCTCCCTGTAAATGGGTCCAAACCCTAAACTCAGGGGCTCGATCCCCTTGCGACCGGGGCCTGTCTGCAGGAAGCACACGCCGCTGCGCTGGTGGCGCTGGCGAGAGAGATCGAGAAGCCGATGAAGGAGGCCGCGGCGTTCACGGAGCTCGTTTACCGCCACCTTCAGAGCGTCACCGGTGTAGGCACCGCGGGGGGCGTCGAAGACGAATAAGCCAGTCGATCGTAGCTTTCTTCCTCGAGAGGATCAGATGAAGTGGGGAGAGATGATCATCTATCAAAGTCGTAGAACCCAGTTGGTTAATAGAAAATATATCTATGATTGGCTACATGGTTGCACAATCTTTGTTGGAAATATCGTTCACTAGCTCGATTTGATGAAGTACGAAGCTCAGTCCTTGCTGACTGCGGCGGGGGGAGGTGTTGATTGAACAATCAGTAGGATCATAAGTGCATGTGAGCTTGTATGCCTCCTTGCGATCTGAGATGACAGACCACGTTGAAAGTTCGGTGGATGCAACGGGCATGGCCCTCCGTCAGGTGATATGACCTGACACTGGTTCTGTTGCCGACGGGCCTTGTCATCCCGGTAACAATCCGGCAACTGTGGACGCGTCAGAGGCCACTGCTGATTTCCATGTATGTCCATTTGACTTCTGGCTTTTGCTCGTATTTCATGCCCTGTGAATAATATTAATTAGAACAGTGGAGGATGTGGACAATTATTGGAGTTCAAAATGAACATACAAATATAAATATCTACTTTGGTTTGAAACTTTATTGGCAATGTGAGTTATCATGGTTATATTTCTTACTATAAATAAAAATTATACTTTCTATCCTATTTTCCATGGAACTTGGAAAATTGTGGTACGATTTCATGTTTACATCATGAACAACGGATGAACCCTGTTAAATGTTACATAATGTGTAACTTTTTTTCTACCCCATGCATTTAATAATGCATAAATATGAACCCTATGAGATTATTAGCATCTTATTAATGTCAAAGTACAAATTTCTATGATGAGGTTGTTACTGAGTTAAGTCATATCAAACCCTCGTTATTATGAGCATCCGGCCCTCGAAGTAAAGACTATGAAGAAAAATAGGCTCAATCTGCTTAACATGGGCTGAAAGTTCATACAATTTTTTCTTCTAAATAATGTATTCTGCTACCATTTCCAAGAGAGTAAGGTCACCGAAATAATGTATATCCTACTGGTCATGCGACTATCTTATGATCTGCCACATGCTAGCCCAACTCTTCCCACCCCTCCCCCCCCCCCAAACACCCCCACCGAAAGAACCAGAGGATGTGCCTAATCCCATGTGCTGTACTGATACCTTTTCATATGCGTCTGCCTTCGGAGTACATTTCTGGAATATGGAATATCGTACCACTTGTCTTGTCTTAGAACAATAGCTGAACAATAATACCTTTATGAGTAGTTTCTCTGAAATTGAGTCTACAGAAACAACTTAACTACATCTTGAGCAAAGTTCTTTTTGCATGGAGCTTGTGAATGAATTAACTTGAGAGAGAGATAGAGGGAGAGATAGAGAGAGAGAGAGAGAGAGAGAGAGAGAGAGAGAGAGAGAGAGAGAGAGCGAGGGAGAGAGGGTATCATGGTCTCATTTTACTATCCAATAGACTGTAAAACTAATGTTTACCAAGTATCTTTTTGGTATGGCATTCTTAAGACATTCCATCTAGTGGTCATATTCTTTCTAGATCTTTTTCTTGTCCATTTATTATATTTTAATGTTTAATTAGGAATAAATTAATGCACATTACAAGGAATATTATATCAAGAAGTTATGATGATTATCATAGTTGTATCCTGAAGTGTCCATAATAATATGATTGATTTACCCTTTAAAGTGCACATTTCTACAATCACTAATCTGATTTTATTATAACTTTTTCAATTAAATAATACTATATACTAGAATTATAGGTTGATGACTTGAAAGATTATTATAAAATTGCGTTTCTAGTCTCTAAAATACTTTAGTAGGCAAGTAAAACTTTTTGCATCTTGAGAACCATACACACACAATTACAATGTTAACTTAAATAGAGTCCATTTCAACACAAGAGGAATAAAATTTATGTCAGATTCTTATGCATTGTCTCTAATTTCTTTATTATCAATAAGTTGGCACATTGTCTATAATTACTTTAAATCACCTTTCATGACTAAGAATAAATATGATCTCCTTACATGATTATAATTGACCATACATTTGGTTGTTTTTGTCACACATAAGTTGTCCCTTAGTTACTTCTAAAGGAGAGTAGAACATCACAATCTGGTTGATTTTGTCTTTGCTTTCTCTTCTTACAAAAATTCAAGAAGACTTTCCTGCACTAAAATGTTGTAATTTATGAAAATGTGTTTTAAATATATTTTTAACTATGTAGAAATAAATATTAAAAATATTCTTAAACCTTGGGAAAATAAATCTTCTTAAACTCAACTTTCTATTTAGATTTTTGATACATTCATTCAAAAATGATCACAAAAATTTTACATAATTAAGTCTTCATTATTATTATGTTACTTCATTCTAGATTCTCCACATGTAGCATTCTCATTGTCGCCTTCGCTTGCGTAACTAGAAGAATCGCGACAACAACGAACTTTAGCACAGATAATTCTCTTGTCGTAAACTACTCATTAGTTCATCCAATCTATGAAAGGTATTGAGTCCACTTCTGACAACAAAGTCCTCCATCATTAGCTTTGGGCCCATCTAGACACCCTAAGGTGGATTACTTTCATCAAATGGTAGTGAGAATAAAAATATCTTCATGATTTTTTTTAAGAAATATATGGCAAAAAAATCATATTCAATATTTAAATAATTAATATATCGTTTAATTCAACATAACGTTGCTGGGGTTGGGGGGATGAAAAAAGTAGTCTTGGGAAACCGGCCATGGCGTCATCAACTGAAACGGCCGAGTGGAGGGAGCCGTAAGGAGTGGGACCCACGCGGGCAAACGGAGCACAACTCCTTGTGAATAACTCCGGGTTTGGGTTTATTCCGTCGCTGGAGCCCTGCGCGGGAAAGCCGGGGGGCGTTATTGGCGGGCAATGGCCGCCTGTGCTGGCAGTGGGCCCCGCTGGCCACCGGCGGCGCCCCACGCGGGCTCTCTTCTGCTCGCAGAGGGACACGTGCGGCCGCCGCCGGCGGCGTTCCCCGGCCAGCGGCTCCCTCCCTCTCTTCACGTGGAGACTTCGGAGCAAGTCTCATCCTACGGCCGGAGATGGCATCCCCATCCAGCTGGCGATCTCAGCCTCCCTTCTGATGGCCATCTCCCTGACGGGGTGGAAGACTGTGGAGTCCAGTTTCCGTTCTTCGGTACAAAATCTCCCACACTGTTCAGCTCTCTCCCTCTCTGTATCTCTCTCTCTCTCTCTCTCTCTCTCTCTCTCTCTCTCTCTCTCTCTCTCTCTCTCTCTCTCTCTCTCTCTCTCTTTCTCTCTCCCTCTCTCTCTCTCCCAGAACCGGGGACTGATCTTCGGAAGTTCCCCAGACTTTCTCTCAGCTGGGGTCTGGCCTTCCTAAGGTCTGCCCTCCTCTATCCCGCTGGGGTCCGAGTCCGTAAAACGGGGTCATTTCCCTCCTGTGCTCGACCCACCAAAGATGGTATTTTCCACGGAAGAACTGTGAATGCACATCAGTGCATCGATTATCTCCCGGAAGCCATATTTCTACTCGTTGTGCTGGCCGTCATTCCTGCCCCATGCTTCTAAAATATCGTTTTTCAATCTCTGAATGTTAAGGACAAGGAGAAGAGGGAGAAGAGGGCCATGCCCCAGTGGGTAGGGCGTCTCCTGCGGAGTCGGTTCTTCGGGCTCTGCGAGAAGCACGAGGAGCTGAGGAAGAGCGAGCTCAACATGTACTGCATAGAGTGCAACGCCTCCCTCTGCGGCCACTGTCTCTCCCCTCCCTCGGCCTGCCACCGCGGCCGCCGCTGCCACCGCTTCCTCCAGATCTGCCGCTACGTCTACCACGACGTCATCCGCTCGCGTGACCTGAAAAAGTTTGTGGACTGCTCCAAGGTTCAGGTTGTTGCACCCTGTGAACCGCGCCGCCACATTCCACCTCCCCTATGCAATCCCCCCGGGTTTTCTCAATATTTGGTCTCATTTCGTCTACGTTTGATCTCGTTCGACAGACCTTCGTTGTGAACGGAGCCAAGGTCCTCTTCTTGAACCCTAAAAGACAAGCTAAGCCGGCCACTAATGGGAGTAATGGCGGGCATCTGTGTCTGGCATGCAGAAGGCCCGTTCCGGATCCCAATCGCTATTGCTCTCTGGCCTGCAAGGTGGAGGAGAATATCAAGGTAGGTTTTCTTCTTTCACCGCCATGTGAAACAATTGAACCAACTCCAATCCTTACCAACTTAGTTTTCCGTGTTCTTCTTTATAATGGATTATTGTAGGGTAAGAACACAGGTTGAAAAAGGCAAACGATATAAAGTTTTATGTCCATTGTTTAACCATTCTTTTACTATATATATTCGGTGGTTTTAATCAGACTTTGGAGATGAACATGGTTGATATAATTACGCCAGCTCCAATCTTTGCTGGTTTTTTACTTTTCTTTTTCTGGTCTTCGCAATGGATTATTATTAGGCAAGTACGCTGCTCAAAAGGGTTCAGTACTGCACCGACGTCTTTGGGCGACTGTTACAGCTTTTCTTTCATTTTTATCGGAAACATTTTCTGTTCATGCATGCTTTTCTTTCATTTTTATCAGAAATACTTTCCATTCATGCATGCTTTTCTTTAACCCCCCCCTTTCATTTAATCTGTTTTCCAGGAATTAAACGTTGCTTGAACTATGCTGGCAAGTCTAGTATCTAATTTTATTTTTTTCTGATTTTTCTTCGGTTATTGCTGGGAAAGAACAGTCCTCGCAAGAGTCCAACGATCTAATAACGTCTTTTGGCGATTGCTACGTCAGTTTTGTTTTTCTTGGAATGTTTTCTCTCATGCAGGGTTTCTTTCCGTTGTTTAATAAGATTTTCCCGGAGATGAATGATACTTGAAATAGCTACAGCAACTCCAATTGTTAATTCCAGATGATTCCGTTTGTCTCATCTTGTTTGCTTCACTTTTTTTTTTCTTTCAGTCGTTCAATCAAATCTTCTCGAAGGTGAACTATGCAGGTGCCGGTCAGACCCCCGGGATCAACGACGACAAGTGTCGGTTCGTGCGCTCCCTCCGCTCCCGAGCCATCAAGAAAGCGGACTCCTCGGCTGCCGTCTCATCTCTCCAGCACCCGGATTCGAACGGCGGAGACGCCCCAGCAGCTGCCAGCAAAAGAGGCGCCCACAAGAGGAAAGGCGTGCCCCGAAGGTCCCATTTTTTCTGAAACATACCAAAACAGTTGCCTCGTTGTGCTCCTGCTTCTCGTTATCCGTCCATGTTGAATTTGAAGAACATTTGGAGGCTCACATCGATCTCTTTTGAGGGCATACCGCAATCACTTCGGACCCTTGGATTATGATCATGGGTGTCATTTAAATGATTCCCAAAGCTCCGTTTGAAGGCATATAATTTCACAGTATGAAAAACTGAATCTTTAGTGAAATAAATATAATCAAATATGTAGGAAATTGATTATCGATATCCACAAGGTATACAGGTGAATGATTCATTAAGTACAGATTATGATATACCGACGAATCTCAAGGTCACAAGAACTCGGGAGATGGAAACTGGTAGAGAGGTCAGCAAGACTCCACATGATAACATTCTATGAAAGCGGTAAAAAAACAAGATTTACGTAAGACGTTGCTTACTCTATGAATATAACATGATATGAATGAGAAGTGATGGTGACTACTTCGTTTACAACCTTTGGCATACTAAATGGGATCGCTTTATTTTAACATCTCATGTCCCCTTTACACGTTTAGTTGTAGCATGATTTCTTCTACGCTGTGAACATATATGTGTATGTATATAGATATATATATAGATATATATAGATATATATATATATATATATATATATTGTGAGGTGGCCGAGGTGAGTTGTAATGGTAGGCCCAACATTCAGGGCGGGAGCTCGTAGGGTATTTGGCTTTAAAGATAGAAAAATTCTAGTTTAGTTCGATATGACCAGACCTCATGCACGATCAAAATATTCGAAATGGACGAGGTATGACAACGAGATTAATTAATACAATGCCCAATTAACCAAAATCCGAACCTATTTTATTTCTTGATCATGAATGACAAGAAGACGGCTCTATAAAGTTGTGCAAATGGTAGCAACATAATTTCATAAATGTTCCATGGGCCGTTTGCCAAAAGAACTTAAGAAAAAGGACTGCGCATTCCTCAATTACGCCGGTGATGAAAATATCTGACCCACCAGATAATCACAACTCGAACATCTGAAGGGTGAAGAGAGATAGAGAGCTAGCGAGAGAGAGAGAGAGAGAGAGAGAGAGAGAGAGCCTTGAGTAACTTAACTCCACAATGGTGGATCTTCGCGCGTCTTGTAAGCTCTCTCCGTGTTGAACAAGGAGAGGATATGAGCCAGGGCCCCTGATTCAAGTGTAGACTCTCCAGATTGGAGTTCGATTCTTAAGAAAGAAGCACATCCCGATGACCGAACTAGCGACCCGGACGAATCGACGAAAGCAATTCCACCCGTGAGACTAAATGCCACGTAGCCTGGCAACAAGGAACTGTTGAACAGATAGCGTATGTCCCAGAGAAAAAATTGAACGATAATTGTTTGTCATTTGAGTTTCATAGATCCACAGATTTTAACCCAATTATTTGTCATATTTTATATTTGATCGCAAGTACGTTAGAAATGGAGATTTTGCAGCCCGAGAGCGTAAAGTGGAGTTCATGTCATAGTGTGGAAGAATCCAACTGGCTACTCAACATTCATCGAGAGTAATCACAACGAATTACTATAGTTTCAATCACAAAATTTAATAATCACACTCGATGATCCGTGACTGTTCTAATTTTTTGGAATCTTGTAAGTAATCCCAGACCTGACTCGGCCATAATTGCTGTTTTTAGTATCAGTGTTGGATGATCCAACCGAGGAAAAAAAAAAACCAGTCAGCAGAATTTACACTAAAACATAAGGAAGATGAATATCCACCGACTCGTCATGAGAAGGAAGGTAAATGAGAGTTCCATTGGAGACATTCCAGCTCATCGACGTCTAGAAGAGGAAGGAATTGCAGCCGACTACTCACAAGATAGAGAAATATCCCTGATTCCAAGCCACCGAGCGGTGTAGAGCTTCGAAAAGATATGCTGGTAAAAACATGCGAACTGTCGGAAGAGAATAACCTCTCTCTCTCTCTCTCTCGTTCACCGGGAACGCTGAGAAGAAAGCTTGCACAGCTGTGGATAATCGAGGTCACAGTGGCTTCCAACAGTCGCTTATAGTATGATTTTGTGATATTATGACAAAGAAAGATACGAGTGGGGACTAGAAAAAATGAGCCCTTCTAGGGATTCCTTTCCTTCTGCTCGCGCCCCTCCTTTTGGCTGCGGCGGAGGGGACCTTGGCGGAGACACCGTCAGAGCAGGGGCTCTTCAAATCCGACCTCCGGGAAGACGACACTGCGGACGACGATTCCTCCTCCTCTAATCTCTTGGATTCGCCATTGTCACCCCCGCTACCCGCGGCAAGGTCCATCACCTACATGACCGATTCCCAAGCATATTTGACTAGACGGCAGAAATAAAAGAAAACAAATCCACGGTAAAGCGATCAAGAAAAAACACGAAGTCTTTGGACTATTGCAAGCTCTGTTCATGCCCTACAATAATAATCGATGTAACATGACTTGGTGCTGCGTGGAGGTGGCAAGATCTATTTTTCTCAGTCGACGGAAAGTTACTGCAACAGTGTAAAATAAATTAAAAAACGAAAAAACTTCTTTGTATCAAAATTAACATAATTAAAGGATCAGCGACTGAGAGAGGAAGACCTTGATCTTCTCCTCCACCTTGCAAGCCAGGGAACAGTAGCGATTCGGCTCTGGAACGGGCCTCCGACAGATCAAGCATAAAGGCCCGCCATTGTTCCCCAGAGTAGCAGGTTTAGCTTGTCTTTTAGGGTTCAGGAGGATGACCTTCGCTCCGTTCACAATGAAGGTCTGCGCGATGATTAAACGATAAGAAAGCTTAGAATCGACCGGAAAATATCAGGGAAAACAAGATGAAAAATGGAAGAAACCGGGGGGAGCACCTGAACCTTGGAGCAGTCAACGAACTTGTGCATGTCATGAAGTCTGATGACGTCCTGGTAGACATAGCGGCGGATCTGGAGAAAATGGTGGCAGCCATGGCTTCCACGGTGGCCGGAAGGCGACGACAGGCAATGGGCACAGAGGGAGGCGTTGCACTCGATGCAGTAGATGTTGACCTCGCTCTTCCTCAGTTCCTTGTGATCGTCGCAGAGTCCAAAGAACTTCCGCCTCAGGAGAAGACCAACCCATTGAGGCGTCATCCTCGTCTCCTTCTCTTTGGCCATGAGAGATTAATAAAAATGCTTCTCAATCAATGTACGGCAGAAATCCCGACCTGCAGGAAGATTAGAGAGGAAGCAACAAAGATTGGAGGTCGAAGTGCTTCATAAAAGTTTTCTCGGTGAAAATCGATGTAACGATCCGCATTGACGCAATTAGCCAGCTAAGGGACAGAGAGGTGGAAAAATACCATCTTCTGCTTGATCGGGCGACAGTAGGTTGGATGCGCGCCGTAGGCCCTATGGCACTCTGAGTAAGCGAGAGAGAGAGACAGAGCGAGTGAGCGAAAGAGAGAGAGGGAGAGAGTGAGTGAGAGAGAAAGAGAGAGAGACTCCTGTTGCTAAACGAAGCTGGTGTTGTCGGTTTTATAGCGCAGAACCAGTGGAGGGAGGAGTTGAGATGGACGATACCCCCTGCGGTTCCCCCGTGAAGAGGGGGGAGATGCCCGGCGAACGCCAGCTGACGGCGGCCACACGCGTCCCTCGACGAGAAGAGGGGAGGCGCGCCGTCGGAGGTGGGGCCCACTGCCACCCAATGCATCTTGCCCGGCTTTGCCGCGCAGCAGAATCAGCCCGGAGCGGATTAATGTCTGTGGGTCCCGGTCTTTAGACCGTTGCACTTGCCTAAACGACGCCATATGCTGAGTTGGAAGATATTTACGTAGCCCCATACTTATCTTCAGCTCTAATTCTTTTTTTCTACTTACACTTTTTCTTTACGGGCAATAAATTTAGAGCCCATTCATCTCTATAACGTTTACACCGATGTTTCTTCTTATGGTGGTCTCAACCATTAATTGAGAATAAGTTAAAAGCATTTACAGCGGTCATGCTACGGAAATTTTCCCATTTTTACTAAAAATAGTCGTCGTCACTTATGATGAAAGTTCTTGATCTTGTAGACTAGATTAGATGTAAGAATCTTGTTGACTAATTTTCTCAACTTTGCATTGAAGTAGGACCCACAATTGTTGAGCATCAATTGAAGGACCAGATGAACTTCACAAAGAAAAAAAATAGAGTAACATGATAAAAGCTTCGGATTAGTCTGTGTTTTGATAAACCCAAGTCATGTAGAGAGATAAAGAAGTGGGTAAATGATATGTGGCATTATTCCTTGTCCAATATCATCCAACAGACATCCTTAACACGATGAAATAACGTGAGAAAACAGAAGCCTGCACTTTTTAGAGTTGACAAAAGGAGTATATGGATGGTCAACAACTCACACTATCACTAAATAAACAGCTTGAGGGCAGCCAAAATCATGTTTGGAAAATAAGAGCAGGGGATTAGCAAATGGTCAAGATGAGGGAGACACGTCCATGCTTCAATGCGCTAAAATTGTAAGTGTTATGATGCATAAGCGGCTAAAGATAAATAAGGCTGATAATTATTGTTTTTGTATTAATGTGACAGGAAGTCTTACAATGAGTCAAAGTGCGCAACTGGCGCCATTATTAGTGGTATGAATTCTTTAACTTTCGTCAAGAAAAATCTGCAAGAAATAAAAGTGTGGGATTCCTGAATGGGTTAATTAATTTCTTACCTTAGAAAACGTTAGTGGAGACTTGGTAAAATGGCATTAGATGGGCAATCTAGGCCTACATAAAATTGAGCAACATAGAGGCTTGAAATTATTACCGTACATATTTTCTGTAATGGATCTACCAAAGATGTGATAAATTATCTAAATGGGAAGCAATGATATGATGGAGTTCCAAAGGAAAAAATAAGGATGGGAAGTCTATAAAGATACTTGAATGGATAATGGGAAGCAATGTAACCCCACGCGACTTTTTATTTCAATGGGTCAAAATTTAGTTAAAAAATCAACCTCAATTACGAATATTTAAAAAATATCGTTCAACTTTCTGCCTTGCTCACAATATATCTACATGTATCCGTGTGTAATGAAAATCATAGAATAAACCATAGCATGAGAAATGGGGATCATTAGGACGTTGGTATTTTCACAGGACTAGAGATAAGCTTACTCAACCCTCCCTTCTTGTAAACCTACTTGAAATGGAGACGAAGTTGTAAAATGTATAACAATTTGTCTTGATAATCTTGCACTCCAGCAACAAGGAACAGAATAAGTGCTGTTGGTTAAAAAATAAAAGAAAAAGGAAAGCCAATTCCGATCTTCTGTGCATGGACATTTGATGTCTTGACCGGTTTGGATCCCCTCAAAGACTTTAAGTTTATTCTCTCTCTCTCTCTCTCTCTCTCTCTCTCTCTCTCTCTCTCTCTCTCTCCATACCTCGTTGGTCTCCTCTGACCCTCCCTCTGGAGATCATCCTACGAGTTCGAGTATAGACGGTGCTTGAGAACGTCATCCCAAAAGATTCAAAACAAGGCCATTGCTCACCGTCTGACGCAAATAAATGAAATAGAAATGATTCACCGCTCTCGAACGTTATTCTTCTGACTATCCATCGAAGTCTCAAGCATTTCGTTTGAAACTTGGCACCGACGACATAGAAAAAGGGACTTCTCCCCGGCCCCTCGCCCACTTGACCGCCTCCGTTCACCTGCGCCGGCGCACATGTTGCCAAAAGTAGGCACCGCGAGCTGGCCATCTATCAGGCACGTGAATCTTCGCCCGCCATGTGGCCATCTGCATGCTATCCGACGGCCCCATGCAATCCAATGAAGCTCGGGCCCGGCCTGGCCCGTTGAGATTCCGGTCTACGCAGTTCGTCCACAAAAAACGAACAAAAAATATCACTATTCCCACCATCATCTATAGAGAAAATGGTTGCCAGAGAGACCACGCAGCGCTTCGCAAGGGGAAGCCCCCACGCAGCTGGGGCAAGGTCTCATAGATCGCTCGTTCCAAGGACACTCGCGCACTCCGGCGAGCAACTCATCTGCCGCAGAGAGATTCCGGCGAGGGTGGCGCAACGACTGGTCTTTGCTAAAAAAGGGGCCCGTTCTTTTTGTATGATCTTCTGATCCTCCTAATCTGGTATGAAGATGAATGAAGCTGCAAGAACTTGCAGATCTTCTCTCGTAGAAGCAGAGGAAGTTGGTAAATAGCTGTTGGTGAGATCTGGGAGGCCTCATCTTTGGCATGTTCATACCATGCCATGCCATGCCATGCCATACCATACCACCATGGGAGGAAGAGGATGGGAAGATGAGATCAAAATTGCCAGAGTAGCAGCAACATTGGGAGGAGGATAAATTATTTACAAATCTCCAGCTGAAATGGTAAACTCCCGGGAAACTGTAGGCGCTTGAGAAAAAGGAGACAAGGGTAGGGGGGGTGAAAGAATCAGAAGATTTACATAAATAGCTCGATAGATGATGATGATGATGATGATGATGATGATGATCGGATGGGGAAGGCTGTCTGTGCCGCGGCCTACTTCCGGTGCTTCCTCTTCACTTCCGCCCTCTGTCGCTTTTCGTCCTCCCACTCGCGGTCGTATGCCCTGCAGCGCGCCTGGTTAAGGGAAAATCTCAAGCTGCAAGTATCTGAGTGAGCTGCAACGAGATTATCCATAAGAACAGGTCAACCCCAAACCCCCAGTGGATGGATGCATGAACACTGACGATTCCAGATGGATGGATAGAGGGTCAATCTTCCATCTGAGGAAATCAAGCAGGAGGAAAATAATCTGTAGATAGAAGTAAGAGAAAATTAAATTGGGTGAATATTATGTGAAATCAGTGAAAAAGGATACTGTTCGGCATCCCTCCGGGGGATCTTGCTGGCAGCTTCTTTGGTGTGCATCCTCTGGACTGGTTCTTCCGCGTAGTTGGCACGATTCAGGGCCATGGCAACTTTCCTCTCCCCACTCTCTCTTCCGTCAAATCGCTGTGAGACACTTGACACGTGAGATTGAGGTGGCAGGGGGGCCACTGGGGCGTACTCTCCAGCTTCCATCGAGGATAGATGATCCCGTTTAAGTTTCCTGCGCTTCGTGGCTGCATTGCTTTCTGCATCATCCTTTGAGATATTCCCCTTTTCTCTTTCTCTCTCTTCCGCCTACACATCATTTTTTTTCCGAATATAAAGTTCAGCAAGAAAGTTATCTTCCAATATGCATATCTAATCAAGGTTCAGACAGAATATTCACAAGAAACTGATTATTTGGGATCCCACAGAGCCTAAAGCTCACAAAGATACTGGTTCATCTGTTAAAACCAGAGTTCTTCTGGCATCAGATGGTCCTCAGCTTTCCTTAAACTTTGCCTAAACGTGAAGGACAAATAGACGTACAGATAAGCACAGAAGTGAACAGAGTCCATCTGAGAACTATTTCTTGTGCCGATCCAAATCCTCAATAAAAGGAAAAAAAGAAAAGTGCCCAAGTGAAGATGATGAAATGCTCTCAGACATTTCTTGGATGGAACTGATTTGGAGGCCTGTATGGTGGACGAAATTTGACAAATTTATTCGATCAAGTCCACCAACGTAATTATCAATGACATGTGTGACCCATTTAAGAAATGTATGAGTTTGAGGCCCTGTTCAGACGTCTATGAGATATGGGTCATTCCACAAGTTTGTGAAATAGAGCTCCATGAGCGTAAGTCAATGATGGGATGCAGCCCCTTGAGGTTTATTGGAATATGAAGACGGAATGTGACCCCCTTCGACACATTTTTAGCCCATTTGAGAAATCTACATGACACAACCCAGTTGAGAAATCTATGGGATGCAGGCCATTTGAATAGATATGTGTGGAAAGTGACATGTTGCACTTGAATTCGGAAACACCATCAAACAGTTGCTTTGGTTTCATCTTACACAATCTAGAGTCAATGAAAAACTCAATCCACATAAGCATGGTAAGCCATGAGTGAGTGAGTGAGTGAGTGAGTGAGTCATGTAATAAGCATAATATTCTGCAATAACTGAGTGAGCACTGTACCTTTGTTTGCTGAGAATCTCGTTCATCTCGTTTCCTGTCCCGTAAATCCTCTTCTCTCCTACGTTTTGCTTCTTCATGTAAAACTGGCAAATTCTCCTCGGAACGTCTGCGTTCCTTATCATCATGCTTAGGAGAAAGCCTCTGAGTATGCCGTGTGCTGGTGACCCTTCTATCAGCCTCCTCATCCCTTCGACTCCCTCCGAAAGAGTGCGGAACAAAACTAGGGGGTAAGGGGGGAGGAGGAGGTAAACTTTGAAAACGATCATCAGAATGTGATTTATCTAGTGGTGCATCAGTGTGCCGAGCTTTGCTCCTCTCGTCTTTTCCCCTGTCATCTCTGCTTTTGTCCACTGCTCTATCAAGCGTCCTGTCAGTTCCTCTCTCTTGCATTCTCTCAGTAGAACGGTCACTAACATATCTTTCCAAGGACCTCTCTCTATTCTTCTCAAGAGCATCCTCACCGCGCAATTTTTCAGGACGGTCGACCTTGTCCCTGTGGTCCTTATCGTGCCTTTCACTTGCCTTATCCTTTAGTTTTTCATGACCTCTGTCTGAAAGCCTACTCAAAGGCTGCTCTTCATTTGAAAAGTTCTCGGAGGGCTTCTCTCTGTCAGCCGTTCGGATTTCTGTACTTTCACTGTCTCTTGGTTCAGTGTCCGCCTTCCGACGCTTTCCCAACCTTTCTTGCTCGTCAATTGTAGCGCTTCTCCTTTGGTCCTTGTCACTGGGCCTCGCCGTGAACGAATCATCATGGAGAGGTGAATGGCCACGACGAGAGGGAATGTGTCTCGGCTTCTCAGTGCCATCAATGTCATTGTCATTCGCAACAGAAGCCTTAGACTCTGCAGGCTTTGTGATCCCACCATGCGTATCAGCTATGGGTCTTGTCGTTGCAAGTGAGCCCTTGGCAGATGCCAAAGTCGCACTGCCATTTGTAGTAGTCAAAGCAGTCGCACTTCCACCCTGTCTTCCTTCCGATGCTTGAACTGCCACTTCCCTCCCCGCAGCAGTGGAAGAAACCTGACCAGCATTTCTAGCGCCAGATTTTTCAGGTCTACTATCATCTTTTAGTTCCTGCTTTGATTGCTTTGCAAGAACAGCTTGTGTGGAGCGCTTTGCATGTGGCCGAGGCTGCAACATCAGCAAAGTAAGCATACTAAAAGAAAATTCTATCGACAGAACAGATATCAACCGAATGTGACTTAGCATCAATCCGAATGATGGAAAAATAATGATATGAGAAAAAAGAAATTGTTAAGCCTTGCGTATGTGCAAGGCAACACATTTAAAGCGCAAAGAGGCAATCCTTGATATGTTTAAGTCATCTTCCCCAATTCCTTTCATCCAACTTTCAATGTCATAATATCTTTCAAATTATGCCCCAAAACAATGCAACAAAAAAGGCAAATAGAAATCCTTACCATTTGTTAATCACCTTCCACCATTATTTATCCAAATCTCAGCCTCATTACATCTTTAAATGAAGAAACCTAAAAAATTGGGAATGCCCCGTAGTACCATCTAAAATCCCGAAATCATATTCTGCACATAAGCACAGCTTCTGCCAAGTAAGAATACTATTCTTTAGAACTGTCCAACAAATTAAACATTCTTATAACATATCCTTTCCAAATCATAAAACGCACGAGTATATCCTTTCGATCTTCTCATCATAAAATCTAAACTGATGCTCTGACACAGTCATTATTTGACTCAGTGAGGCACCATTTTTTTCCCCAGAAATTCATAGGACCACAGACGTGATTTGATGAATTTTGCACGTTTCCTTTAACCTAGTATGATGGTCGTACCATGCATAAGGATCTCTTCGACTTGTCAGGCATCTCCTCCATCTCTCCTTCACTTGAAATACACCAATTGTATTCAGTCTGTGCATATATATCCCTCTCATGAATTTCATACACAAACTACAAAAACCCCCTAAAGAATCAACGATCGGTATGAGTTAAATAGTTCTAATGTTGAAATGATTGAATACGATAACTATTGTTCCAGCTTCTATAACATGACGCACAATCCACCATGGAACATCAAGAATTTAATGATTCCAAGGTAGAAACAACATAATAAACGTCATAAAAAAGACACATTAAGAATTCAACAGTTTCAGACACTACAAACATCAATTTCTTGTACCTCAGCGTCTGAAGAAGCTTTCGTAGATTGCTTCGTAATATTCTCCTCTCCAGGTACCCTGGTGGAGTCCTCCACAGTTGCCTGAATTGTAGATGGGTTGCCAGGTGTCATGGTAGAAGAGTATGTAAATTCAGAACGGTTTCCAGAAGCAACTCCTACCTTTTGTTGAGCCAAATCAGGTTTTGAACCTCCGATGCCCTCTAATCCCTCTGACATCACATCACTGGGCTTTGCTCGTACAGCTTGATCTTTTTGTGTGCTCGGCATATCCTGAAATTGAGCTCCCATAGTTCCACATTTTGTCACTATGGAGTCACTCTGAGAATTCTCCCGTAATACATTGAGAGGACCAGTGATAACCTTAGAGTATTGTGCAGCCGGTTTTAGATCAATCTGACCCATGCTAAATTCTTCCTCAGAAACCCAAAAAGTCTGCATTTTCAAAGCACAGAATACGAATTGCATCAGTTCAGAAATTTAAAAAATAAATATTAAAACAAATTTCTCCTCAACCAGCTGACATAATGAACCGAATTCCCGGATTTTTGAACTCACCTTACGAGCAGCTAATGCTGCAGCAACACCAGTGGCCAGAACTTTTAGATCCTCTCTTTCATCACTTTTGATTTTTGAAACCTAAAAATAAAAAAATAAAAAAAATCGTGAGATTAGAGAATATGGGAGGCAAAACCACAAAGATTGACAAAAAATACAAACTCTTTTACCCGTTTCTCAAGATTAAGCCCGCTTTTTCGTGTAACTGGAAAAACACTTGAGATTTTTGTCAGCATAATGAGGGCGTTTCTGATTTCGATATATTCAGTAGACTCCAGGCATTGTATGAGTAATCGTGTAATTCTCGTGTTCCATTTACAATGTACCTAAAATATTCACAGTAATCAGATAGATATCTAATAACATGAGCGATTACTAATAGTAGAATGAAAAGAAGAATAGTAACTTTCTTGACGACGACAGCTTCATTAACATGTTGATCGTTATAACCATCAAAGGAAAGTAATGTATGAACGCGGAAAATGCATCAAGAACAAGGCAATGGTCGTACAGTAACACGCCATCTAATTAACGAATCCATCTTTCATATAACAAGGTTTTCTTCATGAACATATTATCCCCGTTCTCAGTTAACGCGATAAATAATTGCTATACTTCGTTTGATCAACTTGATATCAGTCTCTAACAAACAATCACTCACAGTTCTCTCAGCATAATTTTCACCCATAGAGTACTTGGAGCTGCCTGTGGGAAAGCAAGAACCAACAGGTACAATTGTTCATCCTGTAAGCAACTCTATGGGCTATATGGACGGAGAGAAACAGAATATTAGGCTGAATTTCTCAGCAGTTATAGTGTGAGAGAATGTCTTAAGACCTGATTTTTAGGGTTAAGGAAAGTCCAATTGGGCCCCTAACAGAGCTGATGGTCTTGGTGTAGACTACTGTGATTAGATTCATAATTTTATTTTTCAAAACCTATTAACTATGAGGTATTATCCACTTCCACACAAAAATCCGAAATCCTACACTTGTAGCATTCGTTGACCGGCAGTTATGTTCCGATTCTCAATTTCCATCCTTATACCAATACAACACGAGCCACAGAAAGGAATACAAGAAGTTAAATAAAAGACCCGATCCATGGCAGAATAAAAGAAAGAACTCACTCTGATAAACTGGTTAAATGTCACACGTTGACTGTTCGGGAATCGGTAATAAACTGCAAAGCCTGGCTTGTTTCCACATTCTTGCTCATAAACAGATTCGTCACTCTGAAGAAAAATCATGAACATTAAAAATATGAAGACTATCAAACTTCAAAAATGTTCATACTCTTGGTCATGATACAGTTCGTGAGTAATATCACTAATCAATGAAATACCTTCCAACGGTATGCCATCTTCAATGTTTCGTATAGAAACCTGCCAAGTCTGCCAGCTTCGTATTCAGTACAACAGCAGATCATCGGTTGCAAGGTTTTGCATATTAGAACATCAATATGGTTGACAGTGTTGAAATAGGGTGTCCCCAACGAATGCAGGGTATGCACAAAAACGGCACAGTACTCGGCATCTAGCATGCTGAAAGTGCAGCGTGGAAATATACACCGTTGAAGAAATTCCATGTTGATCTTTAATGTATCAGGGCAAGAACTCAGCCACCTATCTTTCTCATGACCCAGTCGTTCACGGACAGATGCAACATGATCTGCATGCTTCTGGAGTTCAAGAGTCAATTTATCTAACAATTCGTGTGTTCTTTCCTTATCCTTCTTACGTTTTGTAATTGCCGAACTTGAGTTGTCCGTAAGCTCCTCAAGGGCTTTAAGATTGCTATGTTGTTTCGTAATCTCAGACTCATAACGATTAGTAGGGACGTGAAGATCATAGAGTGTTAATCCCCAAAAGGTAGTATATAGATCAGGGGAAAGGCTGTTCCAAGCTCTTAAAGGCAGTATGCTTCTAACTGTGCCTAGAATATCCAGCCACCTGCAAACAATAGAAGGATTAAAAAAGCACGGTAAAATCACATGTCCAGAAAAACAAATGTGCAGAATCAAGTAGAAATCAGAGGATGGAATCATGATATTTAGTTTTATCACTGATACGGGATCATGCATATAACTAATTTTGCCAAATGAATAAAGAAATTTCAAATGAATCTGACCTAATGGGTGCCCGAGATGAAGCAACATCCAGAAGGACATCTGAACCCGAAATTTCTGATTCTGTCTCTAGAGTATGATTTTCCATATCCGTGGGAAAGCTAAGAGGCCAGCAAATCTCAGTGCTCCTCGAGCACTTGAAAAGCCTCATAACAGGCCGATATATCAAAAATGCTACCTGCATCAAAATCATTTAAATGTCCACAATGCAAAAAGTATTTCTCAAAAAAACCAAGAAAGTTGATTCTATTGACGCGCAAAAATGAGAACAAAATACTCAGCATCAATTCGACAAATAACAACAATGATACAAGAGAATGATGACATATATAGCCGCATAGAGCTTTAATTCGCAAAATATTTTTTTTTTAAATTCTGTCAGCAACTGAATATTTAGCAGCACACTGGGGCGAGGGCCTGTACAGACTTGCAACAGACTATGCATGTACATCCGAATAGCATAACTCCTAAAAGTTTCAACAACATTATCAGAAAGAAGAATAAAGTAAACATCAGATGTCACACGTGCAACTTGAATGCATTACCTCTGGATCAAGATGGTATTTGTGTACAAGATCACTAAGAGAAGGAATCATTTGAGCATAAGCTCCAGGAGTTACTGCACCAGAGAGAAAGTCCACATACTGAAGAAGTGTGCCATGACACCTGTCGAATTGTTCACTGACCATCTTAATGTGTGGTGCATCTGCATTTACGACTACCCTGAAAAGTATGAAATTCATACATAAACAATTACTCAGATGTTTGGCTGAAAAAAAAATGAAAAGAAAAGAATAAAAAGTAATGGGATCATATAATAGAACCACTCAATAGCTCACATGGAACGATGCTGTGCCAAAAGCAACAAAAGAGGAACTGCCAGATTGGGTTCATCCTTGGGCAATAGAGAATCCCTTAGCCTGTTAGTGGACTTTGAGAGTGCCTGTAAAATAGCAAATGACGCAACTCAGACAAGAGATTTAGGCTCAGCTTCGCAAAACAGAAACAGAAATAAGTAAGCAAATAAAAGGGCGACAAAAAGAAAGAAATACAAATTCATGGGGGAAGGATTGGATCAGGAAAACAGAGCAGGTAGACACTGATACTATTCCCCTAACTGATACCAAGAGACTGCATCTGATTTCCTAAAAACTAGCAACACCACCCCAGAAAGAATAGTTATCCAACAAGATTAATATTTCCTGATACTAGCAACCATCTCCTGAAACCAATAATTGTAGTGTTTCTTTCTCAATGGACAGGAATCATCTTATGATCAAACCTCTGTTGTCGCCAGCTTCAATTCTTTTCCATTGCCAATGCCAACGTCCAAACATCAGAGTACAGATTATCACCTCCAAGGGGATCGCACAAATGATACAAGAGGAGAATTTTCTAGTCACTGTATATTCCAAACATCCTTCACTTTCATTGTCTGTCGAGAAGAAATCATCACCATTCGTTCCGGCCCAAACTGGCTCACAATTCTGAGATTTGAGGTGTATGGATGGATAAGATAGAAGCGCCACTGCACTCAACAGTTAACATCAGCTATGCACAGATAAAATTTTGAGTTTCTTTTATGCTAATCCCTCTAGGGTTAAATTGTCGTTATAAGTAAATACTCCATTAAATTGTCGATATGGTTTTTTTTATACTTGAATAGGCCTTTCTCCTCAGATTGGCAATTCGGCCCATCTAATTCCAGTCAAGGTCGGATCAGATCTCCCCAAACTGGCACTCCATTCAGATTACCATGGTTCCAGAACAACCATAATTAATGGAACTTTGGCTGGAGAATGACTATTGTAACCAGGTTATTTCCGGCATGTTTTTCTAATTAGACATCCAAAAACAATGAATCAAGAAGATGGAAATAGATAGAGAATACCCGAATAATGTAAATTTACAAGAAAACAGTCTCCAAGTCATCTCTTGCCAAGCTGTATTTGGTCAGGGATACCAAAACAAACAGATACTCCAAAAAAATTGCCTACCCATGGAGCCAATTAGAGTTAGAAGATGAGATCACTAGGCGATCTGATTATTTGAACCATGGGACTGCAAACGGCGAGGGGAAGCAGCAAACCTGTCAACTGCTTTGGCAAATTGCCCATCAAATGACGTTACAAAGATAAGAATTGGAAATAGCTGATGCATTTGGCCCCTCCATTACATCCAGACACAGTAAAAACACTGGAGAATAAATATCGCATATTGAAGTCGGTGCATCTCCAATTAGTATGATGCATCTGAGTTAAATATTTCATTCATCCTCGGTCCACTGAAGTATCAAAATTCATGAAGCAGTTTCCCTTTCATACTGGCAATATATAACATGCTGGAAAATGCAATTTCTGATCAGCCAACAATCTGATTTTTCAAAATCCTTCTCCAAACAGGTAATAGCATTGCTTGGGAGAGAGGCTGTAGAGCCTAAGCGTGCTTCTTCTTAATTACTGCACAAATAGAGCCTGCAGCGCCAACTTCACAACCATTTGACCATCAAATCTTTGTTGCAAGTTCCAAATTTGAATAATCCAACCACCCTTTCTCCACTGTAGACTGTTCTCTCCAGTCTGATGCAATAACGAATGATAATAATGCCACTATTCCCTCACTCAACTGACCTCGGAACAGCAGAAATCCTAGATGACGGGAAAACTGGAACATTTACGATCCAACAAGTCATTAGCACGCACGTTCATGTTCTGAAATTCAAATATCTACCATTTCATTTACGAGAAATTGACCTTCTAGCTTGTTTTCTCCTCAGACAGAAACAATTACCTCTGGAAGTTGAGCACTTCGGCGTTTTCGAAAAACAGAAACATGTAATCAGCAATTTCCAATGTGTCATTCAAACGTTTACATACACATCATAATCTGCAGGAAACCGAACTCCATTGCTTTCTTTGAAGTGTAGTTGAATTTGCCAAACAAGGTGGCAATCTAATAAGGCCCCTTGGTTAATCATCTCAAGCTAGTATAATAACCACTAGCTCACTGTTGAGAAAATGAAAACATAAGTGTCATAATACACCGTGTCCCATCAATTTCACTTCTCATCACCCCCACTGGACGCCATGTTCCAGTTACATCCAAGAAACTTTATCGTTGGCCTTCTCAAGCTCAAATTTGAGTAGAAAGAACCCACTCCCACTTATCCTTTGGTAACATATAGGTGTGGATTATGATTGCGAAATTCTCAGACTAAACCCTTCCATCTAAGAAAGCAATTTGATTATTTCAGCTAGAAAACCGAGGAGGATTGTAGCCACTGACTAGTCTCGTCAGTCTTCAATCTTTCATCTAATCCATTCTTCCTTCTGTGCAATAAGGACTAGAATTGAAGAGTTAAAAGATGATTGTATTAGACTTCCTTCTGTCAGATCACCTATGTCTTATCCATTCATCTTAACCCTTCCTTCTGTTGAAATACTTTGCTCACCTATGTCAGATCATCATTAACTATTTTCGAAAGTATTTCTAGAACTCCAACAAGAAACCATCAGTGCAATAATATCATTGGGTACAGACACCTGAGATGTTGTTATGTTCAACCTCCAAGTTTCCTATTATGAGAAAAGTAATCTACTCTAGTCAATAACGTGTCTCTGGGCATTATGTTCCTCAACCAGTGTCCTACATTCTCAATAGAATCATCATTTGAAACAGCCTGACTGGACTAAGCAATTTTACATGGTTTTCCTTACATGAAAGTAATCAATGTCATCGCTGAGTCCGGTAATATACTGAGCCAATGGCAACCTGGCTTAACCTGGACCTGAGTTATGATCCAAAAATATGTATCATATAAAAACATTATAAAATAGTTTATAATTTCATTATTCCATCAAAATCGATGATGAAGCCGAGAGTAATATGCAATCCAACTTATAACTGTTGATGAAAATTCAAAGAATCTAGAGAATAGATGCTTAAACAGCAGCCTCATATGAGGACGCCCTTTCAATTTTCAACAAAGTTTAAAATTAAAGACGATCCGCATCATCGTCAGAAAAACTGCAAACGAGGAAAGGAAAATAAAGGAAAGGAAAGGACAATTTTCCAACGAATATAGATGTTCAAAAAATAGCATAATATGATTACACCATGTCCACTATCAACGAAGTTTCAACTCGAAGTATGTCATTGGACACATTCATAATCTTCTTGTAGACTACATGAAGAAGAAAAAAGATGCTGAAAAGCAGAATAGGATGCATGAAATTCAAAGCGGGTGACTGTAATCCGAGTGATTAAGGGGGGAAAAAACAAGGGAAATCATGTTTGCACCTTATTAGCTTTCGTCATTCCAAAGATACTAGATTGTGAACGTAATGTTTCACCACCAGCCATTGCATCCAGCTGGTCCTCAGTCATATTTTCAGTATATTGTACATTTGCCATTTGTTGCATAAGCTCCTGTACCATAGCTCCAAGTCAATTAAAAATGGTTCCAAATCCAGGTGAAGAGAACCTTTACAACAAAAAAAGCAACACACCTGTAAAACTACAAGCTCAATTCCGCTACCCTTTTTCAACTGATTAACAAGATAATCAAAAAGGCCCCGCAGTTCCATAGAAGGATACTTTTTACACCTGTAAACAAGATGTGATTTTATTAATAACACACAACTAACTCATATAATACCTCAATAATTGGCACGGACGTAACAGACAAAAAGAAATTCATTGAATCGCAGAAAAATGTGGATTGTCCAAAACGAAAGGCCAAAATAAAAAGTTCCAATGAAGAATAATAAATAAACAAGATACTACTTACTATTCATCCCCTATAATTACTGAGATAGAAACAAATTATTTCATACTTAATTCAGCCGATAAGAAAGAAAAAAAAAAGCTATAGAATGTTCACAATATGTGAAGTAACTTAGAAAAAAAATAGATTAACTTAACAACTATTAAATTGCACGTGTCGAATGTTGTGGGTATCTTGTTCACTTGATCATTATTTTCTCATTGGGGGGAGGGGGGGCAGGTACTTCAGGATGATATATCTAGCCAGTATGCCAGTCCAGAAAATCTTTTACTCATTTCCTTTTCTACTACAGCTATGCCTAGTGACTTGATGGTAGCCAGATGTGAAGTTAAAAAAGGGTATGGATGAGTATTCGAGAAAAAAACATAAGGGTCCTAGACGGATCCGTTCATTCCAACCCGGAAACTGCCGATTGCGAATGTCAGGATACCCAAAGTTACCAAAACATCAGAGAACTAGATTAGACATTTCTGTATGAAAAAACAAATAGCTAAGGGTTAGGTTGTTTGTCAGTTTCCTATGTTGGTGAGGTTGTTGGTCAGTGTCCTAATTTGCTCGAGTTTCCTATAAATCGTGGGATTCAACCTAGGTAGTTTTCTTTTTTGAGGGGTAATTGTATATAACCAGCAATTACTCTATGAATTGTATGCCAAGAAAAATTCCCCACTGCTTATATTTGTTTGGTTTGAGTCAATTTCTACAAGCTATTGGACCGAAACTGGCAAAACAGAACTATGCCAAGTAACAACAAGATTTGGCAGCTTCTACTGAAGACAGTAAGTCCTCAACGAGTGTTTATGCTGTGCTCCTAGTGTTTTAAAATAATCCCCACTGATTACGGAAGAAAATACATCAATCACATAAGAATAAAGCAATTCTTGCCTACGCAATCATGTTTCCATGTCTTACCTAAGCGGTCCAATTAAGAGGACAGAAACTGTTGGCAAAGAGTGAAGCAAAACAATCCAGCTTACCAAGAAGTATAAACACCTTGAACCATCAGATAGCAGTACTAAGTACAGCAAGCGAAAATTGCACCATTACAACTAATTACTCAATTTAAAATCTTTATTATGGATGCAGTACAAAGAAATCAGTAGTACATACAGGTGGCCCCAAAATAATGCGAGTGATTGAAGCCAATCTGACAAATTGAGGCCATCCTCTTTCAGCTTATCACGCCCTCCCTGAGCTAAACGCTCAATGACAACATATTCTAGTATATCATATTCGAGCTGAAAAGAACGGGAAACTTGGTCACTATAAAATATGTAGATCAATCGTGGGAAAAAAATGATCAATAAACTTTCAAAGGCATCAAGAAAATCGCTGCAGAAGTTCAAAACTAATAATAAATAGCGAACATGTTTCATAATTTTGATGTCTAAAGAATTCCAGTTAAGACAGATTATATAATATAAATCAACCACACGTTGAACCCTTTAACAGTGTTGCATTCAAATCATTTATTACAGCAATTCTTATAACAGAAAAAACACTCAGGACCGTTCTCATTGCAAAAAATGGTCCAAGAGAAATAGTGACACAGATTTTTCAAATCCCGTTGAAAGACGATAAAAAGGAATATATCCCCTTCTGATCCTGATATACAACAGAATTGCATGAAATGAGAATGGCCCAAAAACTGCAGCCACAAAGGCCCTACATCGTTAAATATAGAAAGTCCAAAAATAACAAGTCCATGAAGACCCGTTATTCTGACATACATTTATTTTCTCTTTAACAGATTATATTTTTTGGAATATATACTTTATTGGCGTTCTCTTTTAACAGAGTCCATTTTTTGGAGGATATAAAACTATATTTTTCCCATTTAAACAGGGATGCACGGTAAAAGGGGGATTCTTTTTGCAATATCAAATAATTACAGAAATTTGAGCTAATGACAAATATCTTCACGATATTGAACTTAGAAATAGTGGGCATGGAAGAGGGAGCATAAGGGACACCAGGGAAATCTGACCATTGCTGACATTAATTTAATTTCTCTTAACAATAGACTATTGTTTCTACCACTGCGCTGACAAACTCCCAAAAGAAGGGGGCCAAAGGAAGAATAATATTAGTTCATCCTCTTCTGCATAAGATGGACTGTTTTATAAGTAAACAAACAAACTGACAAGAAATCCGGAAGAAGACAAACCTGTGTCAAATACTTGAAAGCATCAACAACAGGCGCTATCATATCCTTATAAGCCTCAATCTGCAGTTGAAATAGAATTATCAATCATATTCACTCAGGAACGAAAGGATGTTAAACCTCAATCCTCGATCTTACCTGATGAACAATGGTGCGAATGACAGTCACTGGGTTAGCATGAGCTAACTTTGCCACTGTGCGACCATGCTGCTTCAAGTTTTCCTTGGCAAGGCGTTTCAAGATTCTTCTGATTTCTAACTGATAAGTAGAATAAATAATAAAATTACAGGTTGTCCAGAAATTAAACGAATGTAACTATACGAGAAGACGAAAGACCTTTGCAGTATTCCTTGCCGCCAGAAGCATTGGGAACTGCTCATCTTCTTTTTCCCACTCACCATACAACCGATACCGAGTCTATACCACAGACCCAAGAATATTAGACAAATGTTAAAAAAAGCATATGCACATACAAAAAAAATAACAGTAATTAATATCAGCGCAAAAATGAAAATAGCAATCTACAATGCTAACCTCATACGGAAGAAGACATAATACTTCCCATATCTCTTGGCCTACTGCAGGATTCGCAGGTATAAGCTGCAGAGAAGGTAATAAACATGATGCCAGAGCTTCCTCAACCTTCTGCCTTGCTTCTCTGAGACGAAGAGCAGGAACCAGCTTCTCTTCATCACTGGGCTTCGGTGAGGTATTAACTATGGGAGAATGTACAAGTTCACGAGCAGAGATAAAATACGCTTTTAACACTCTACACACCTGCAAAACAATTCCTTTAGTGCAATGAATAAACATTATGATTACATGGAGAAATTATGCATCCAGAAAAGACACTAAATGCAGGAATTGGTCAAGGTACGAATGCATCGAGGCAAACATTTCATTCAGAAGGAAAAACATAAAGCACCAGCGGTAAATGAATTTCTTCAACTTTGAATTACATACAACCAAAAATTGAGGCCATAAATTGAATGGACAGCTGAAATACCTTCTGCAATAGTAGCGAATCACGATAGAGAAATGGTCCAGCAACAGTGAGCATCTGAAAAAGCTCCTTAGGAAGATCTACAAAGGAGCTGGAGTGTAAAGATACATTGGACGATTCCATGGCATCAGAGGAAGAAGCAAATGATGTATCAGAGTTTTCTGGGCGCATTTGACAAACAGTAGAATATGCAGATGAGATAGTGCTTCCAATAATCCTGCATGCATAGCATGAAATTGTCAAATTACCATCTTGATTCTCAACACTGTAGAAGGAAATGGCTCTCCAAGATTCACTATAGAAAATAAAATATACACACAATAAAAAAAAGATACAACAGGACATCCAGAATCAAAGTGTTGGATACGAACCTTTATCCACTGGAAATTTATCTTAATCACCAATGTTAGAAAACGAAGACCATGATATAATTTCAAGCACCACTTAACAGGAACTGGTTAAGAATCAAAGTACGTAGTAAAATATTTCCAATGCAATATTCACTTGATCCTTTTCTAGAAGATCAGTGTAGTTTGATTTTTTGACAACCAATCGCAAAAGAGAGATTATTCAAACTGACCAATATTTAAACTCTTATTGTCGTTTTCCCTCCAATTTTATGAGAAACTAAGAATGTATGAAGATGATTTTTTCTCCTCATCGTAACAAATATAAGAGAAACGATATGAAAAAAATCTCAAATGAATTAAACAGGAAACAAAGAAAAACAATCAACATTGTCCCAACTCTTATTTACTAAAAAAAGCTTCAAGTAACCATCACATCTGTCAAAACTATAAAAAAGAGTCTTACTCTACCCAATATTTAATCTGCTAAAATGCACAAGTAAATACACTATCAGCTAACCCAATATTCTTCCAGTACATAGCCAGATCCACTTTAATCATACATCTGAATTGGATGTTGTCATCAATCACCTAATATGGGCTATTGTAGTCAGTCTGACTCATGATCTGGTGCGCTGATAGAAACCTCAGCACCCATGGAGAGAGAATATCTTTATTGATTGAAAAAATTATTACAAGGAGAGCAAGGTCCAGTATTTATACCAGATCCCTAGAAAATTCTAGACATACTGACATAGACGTGGGCATATAAGAAACAGGAGGGCATATCTGCCAACATGTACAGTATACAAGGTTTATTTCTTAAGTACATCACGACAACAGGTATACTATCTATCAAATCTCACAAGAACGAACAATTAGAACAAACGCTCCAACGATTCTCCTTCTCACAAAAGTCGAGTATATTGTGGAAGCTATTTATAACATAGGAAATTATACTGATGGACCAGTGTGCAAGATCCTCCACGCCTAATTCCAAGCCTTTATTGAACACAGACTATCATCAGCTTACACGGAATGTCACAGACAAGCAGCGTAACTATGCCATCAACTAATGGGTAGAGAACTAGACTTCATCATTGGATTTCACAGTACCTGTGAGCAGCAGAAGGCAGCCCACTGTGGCAGGGCTGCCACGTGCTCGGACTGCACCATGCAAGGGGATGCCCCTCATACACGGAGACACCACACTTGGCATCATGGCCGTGCATGACGCTCCAGTGGAAGGAGACGCCCCAATGCTGCAGATGCTGTGCGCACTGCAGCTACGAGACAGGCTGAGGGGAAGTGAGGAGACCGACCTTCCTCACGATGATGTGAGGAGGGAAGCCACTAGAGGCGGATGCTGGACCAGAGGAGGCCTGCAGGCACATAGCACCTGCAGCTGTGCCAAGCACAACACTTCAGAAGAATTTTCTTTTTATGATCTTTCTTTCATCTTTTTTTATTTACTTTCCAATTTAAAACTAGCTAGGATGTGACACTACTGTGGCCGTAATTGCAAATGCTGACTTGTTCTTTGACCTGGGTCTGGAATCATTTAGTATTTCTTGACTACCTTCCTTTTGGTCCTCTACCATCAAGGCCTCTCCCTGAGCTTCACTAGTCCTTACTGTCAATTCTTTATCCCTCAGTTTCTCAGAGAACAGGGATGTACTAACATCTTGCATTGAGACTGCATGCAAAATAATAGGAGAGGTTGAACATCATCGTCGAATGAGCAAAGATGACAAGATTCCACGATACAATCAAGAAAATTTTCAAGTGAAGAATAGCCTCTCCCACAAAAACCCAATGAGCTTCATCCTAGAAGGCTGTCCCAGGCCTAGCACATTACAAAATTCAATTAGGATTTGCATTTCAGATAATTGTCAACCCATTAATGACTCTAACTGGGATATGTGATGGTTTCCACATGAAACACGACTTGGATCCGAATTCGGATCGATAGTGTGGATCAAAAAAGGGAAAGCGGAGTCTCTTTGTGACCTGCCATTATCTTTCCACTAATCCCTTCGGTATACTACGCAGCGTCCCTATACTAAGTCTGGTGATTTCTTTAGAAGTTTTAAAACATCATTGCCACACAGAACTTCTCCAAATTTAAGGCCATCATAGTATCACATGCAAAGTGCAGAAATAACGATATAGAAAGATTTCGCGGAGAAAATGGGCAATATAGACCTTGAACACATGAAGATGTCATGGAGGCAATTCGGAAAGAACTGAGCATTGTGAATACAGATTAGTAATAATACAGTTCAGATGCCAATACTTCAGGGAACGAAAACCTTAAAAGAGAAACCAAATTTTAGGAGTATTTAGTTCTGTATAGATGATGCCATCAGAACTAATCATACTTTTTTACATTATATTTATTTCTTTCTTCTTCTCTCGCATTCCATTTCTTTTCCTTAGAAATGGCATGCTAACATCCAGATTTGAATGGAAGAAAAAACTAGAAAAAAAGCGAACTCGAAAACGTTCTCAGATAGTTTGAAATTTCAACCAACATATGAACTATAACAAAACTGAAAAAGATATGAACCATTTATAAATACAAAAGACAATGACGAGTACCTGAACAAGTCATCGCAGATTTTGATATGCTCAACAGGATTCAGATGTGAAAGAGCGTCAAATAGTATTTTTGCATGATACCTAAAGAAGAGGGAAAGTTAAGAATATGTTTCACCTATCCACCGAAATAGGAGCACCGCTTACTGATAAAAGATAAAGAACCACATAAATTTCGAAAATAATGGCAATTTATGTCACAAATCAACATAATCCTCGAGTATTTCACTTCAAAAAGAAAACAAAAGAGCATTTTTAAAAGCAATGATAACTAGAATGAGATGCCGATAGCTTGTATTCCAGGGCAACAATAGAACAACTGTTACAACTGTCTGCCAATGTGAAATGCTATAACACTGACAAACATGACAACCATGACTGTAAACGAGCAAAAAGGGGCACTGGTACCCCTAATTGCAACCAAACACATGAGAAAATCCTCCTCACAAGGAACCGCAGCTCTTGGAAATGCACAAGTGCATCCCTACAGCACCTATTCCTTGAGAATTTCAGAGTTTCTTACCATGGATCAGCTCCCAAATGCAAAAGATGACCTATTAAGTTAGATTCAGAGAAAGTCTGACAGAGTGATCTGAGGTGCGCTCAAAGAACGTGCAGTATTTCATTCTGGGTTCTAATGAGCACCCAGGACACGAGCATTCTATACACGAGTATCTCAAAACTGCTCATAATGACAGTATGGAATATGAATGGTACATGGGTGCGAACATAGGAAGAGTTTTAACTGAGTCAGCAGCAGGGATTTAAAAGATGGCTTTATATCCAAACGGAACTCAGATACTAGTTAAAACATCAGCTAAAAGCAAGCGTTTAAACGCTGCTTCGTGGATGACATACAACTGGTTCGAACTGGGTAAAGCAGGTGGTTTAATCAGTTCCAAGCTGATTACTTTACAGAAGAACAAGTATTAATTCCCCCAGTCACACAATGGTTCCCGTTCCCAATGATGAATCAGCTTCCTAGAATCAGATCAAAATACAGGACTTTAGGACATGGAAAAGCGACGGATTCGTGGTTCCTGCAAAACCACATACAGTACTACTTAAACGGGTCAACGTCACACCCATAAATTTATTGTACGCAAACTCCGGAATCATAGATAAATGTGAACGAACTTTAACAGAGTTTATGGAACATATAAACTGGAGAATGAAAGCATTTAATACTTGAAGACTTCGAAATATTTTTTTGAAAGATTTGATCTAGTTTCTTCTGAGCATACTTCAAATTGTCATACAAACTTTTCAAATGTCATCTTTCAAGGTCCATTTCACACCAGGTTTTCTTAAGGTTGTAAGTGCAACAATTTCTCGACAGAGAAAAAAGGTAAATATAGAGATCCCGACGAAACTAATGAAAATAACAAATCATTTCCCTGAATCTCCACGTGAACACACCAGTTAGTGGATATTGCCACATCCTTCTACACTACTTGTCTCTTGCTTTAAAAAGAAGATTACTTCCCGTAATCTTTCTGATGTTTTTCTTAAGGAAAGAGATGCCAGATATTCTAAACAGAGGACTCAATTTCATTGTCTATCCATCGCTGGAAATTCCTTGCAAACAACTTCCCAAAGAAATAAATTCATTTTTTGGGTGTCAAGTTTGCCCAGGATTTCTCCAACATGACATACAATTAGTCTATCAAACATCTTTTTGAATCACATAACCGGACACCCCAGTTCTTTCATTTTCTTCGTTCACTTAGACGAACGTGTCTAGGAAATGCGAAAGCATGAACTTTCTTCAAATTCAACCATAAAAAGTTCCTCCAACCATAATGGTTGACCCCCAAACTGATATTTTCTCTCTTGTATAGCCCTTCCTTTGCCTGTGAACAGCTCAGGCGTTCTCCCAATGTTTGAAATAATCATCCAAACATCGTAACTTCCCAAGTATACTTTGCGTTCCATTACCCAGTCGCAATTGTATTGATGCTGCAAACAGCATTAAGTTTGATGATAATCATCCAAACAAATAGAATACGCTTTCTTCAATTCATGGTGTTCATAAATATGGCATACAGAGCACCATACTCTACATGCCCAATTTTGTAACCACATCTCTGAGTGCAGTGCCGAATATCTCATTTTCAGGAGCCTATTCAGCCTCAGGTAGAACAAAACTCACATTACATACCGTAACTCAGTCTCAACAGATCATTAACTCAAAATCAGCCAACATCTAATGATCATCCACCTTGCAGATTGTGTCCTAGTTCTGAGCCAACAATATCTGCACTTCAAATCAACTTTTTGAACTCTGAACCAGATCAAGAGTTTTCAGCACTGCAAAGGAGAATAAGAAAATCAAAGAGAACGCTGGCAGAGATCCTTCTGACAGCTACCCCCAGCTCTTCAGTAATGACAATACTATCTATCGATAACTTTTCATGATTTGGACAACTACATCTCAGTTCATAAAGAAAAATTAAAATATTCAACATTTATAGGCCAACCTTGCCCCATGATAGATGCAATGACAAAGATTTTGTAGCAAAAACAGAAAAATAATCAAGCACCATAAGCTTCTACAATAAGAGCATATGAACCTTTACCAGTCATCAACAGAAAGAAAACCCATAAGCAGACCCAAGCTCTGGTTACTATCCAGTTCAAGACCACGCTCTGATACTGCCTTAGCCTCCATGTCAATGGCAGCAAAGAAATCCACCGCAAAGTCAAGCTTCTCCTCATCAGCAAGATCTTTCCCAGTGGCAGCAAGATTTATTTTCCCAATTTTATTGACCTAAGAAAAAATGAGCAAATACATCGTGGTTAAAATGCAACAGAAAAATTAATATTAAAGGAGAACTCAATCATAATCCCAAACTTGCCGGTGAAATTAAAGAGACTAGTCTAGCACCCTAAATGAAAAAAGAGACCCGGGAAAAAGACAGACAGACAACAACCCAGTAACTGGGTTCATATTTCACATAAAACTATGTTACAAGCTGTTCAGAGAAATAATTTTTTTCAGATAGAAGGCGAAGAGGGACGTGATGTCAATGAGACGGCATACCATTTCAATTCTTTTGGCCAAAAATGCATCATAATGCTCGAGGGCTTCACTCTCCTTTGGAAGCAAATGAGCATATCTGAAATACCAGACGTAAATAGTAATTTTCGGCTCAAAAATAATAATAATCCATCCAAAAATCCTAAAAAAAGGTATTAGCCCTCATTTGCAAGATGGTTTGATATGATTAACTTGATTTAACAAAATTTTCAGTTTAGAACATAAGAAAAGTAATGTCCGTTTTCTCTTAAGATCTTCAAATAAAGGAGTCAACCATTTTCAAAGAAGGTTATGAAATTTTAATTGAGCTAAAACAAACGTTATACACTTGTAGAGAGAATTTGTGAAATAAATGATATCCAGTTCAGATGACAAGTGACTGATAAACACCAAGGAGCTTAACAAATGCATGGAAAATTAAAGCAGGCAAGCAATAAGTCTGACAAGGAAAAAAACTGAACTTGATTATATCCTGAAGTTAAAAATACGTTGTCAGGATCAAATCTTGATTCCAGAAGGACATGGGTCCTTCCAGATCATCCTGGGAAAAGTCCAATATCATGTGACCAGTTTCACTAGTAGATGATGAAACCCATTATCTAATAAGGAAACCTCTTTTTATGAATTACAGCATGTTCTCGTTCCAGTTCATCCTGGGAACAATCTAACCACATATGGCTGGTTCTGACCTGCTCGCCGCATGATAAAATTACTTTAGCATATAAGAAAGGGATCTCTTTTGATGAAACTCTGCTGGTGCGGGACAACTCCAAGTGGTTGCAGGTCGTTAACAACATATTTCCACAAGTTAAGAACCTATACAGACATACTTCAAGGTCAAACCGTTGCATAAATGTCTACTGACCGGTTTCCCCAGTTCGGCAGATTTTTGTTTCCAAAATCATAATTCCCCAGTACAGGCATACATGGTTATAAGTACCCACGTAGGCGACGTACATAGAGAAGATATTTTAGTGAAACTTATTCGCAGACGATCAGATCTGACAGGTCATTGTGGAAAAAAAACCAATGTATGGTTTCCGAATGTAACATGAGGAGAACTTTACAACAGCAAAAACTGTTACTTATTTCCTGGTTGTTCTTGAGCTTACTCTCCTGGATAATATATAAACCCAATAACCAGACAGGGACGAGGAGTAAGGAAGCTTGAAATAATTTCGAGGAATATGTGAGCATGTAAGATCTCCCATTACAGCCCGATCAGTAACATGATTGGAACAGTGTTCTGCAAAAGACCATACAGGAGCAAGGTAATACACTGGAAGGGCATAAACCCATAAGAGTAAACAGGAAATTTTGTTACATAAATTGGACTAGCTTCACCGACCTGGAAGAAGGGACTTGAATATGTCATCATGTAAGAAACAAAAATCGTGTACGAAATTCCATTTTGATTCGTGACTTCAAAAACTATACTACAAAAGTTTGTCGCAAAAACAGTTGTCATTAATAGGAGATTCTTATTGAAAGGTTGCAAGACATTTGCATAAGAAGACAGTGAATTCATTGAGGTTACATCTATGCTATTCCAGAGCATGAAAGACCATTGGTAAGAGTCGCAACAAAATATTGACAGAGGGAAATCACGCTTTACTGGTCATATAAAATCCTCTGACAAACTAAAGGCATTAATGGGAAGGTTGGCACACAGGAAGATCCACTTCAAAACAAATAAGAAATTTAACCCGGTCAGGAAAATGAATGCCGTTTCTACAACTGAGAGTAAGAGAAGTTTGGTAGCCTCTACGCAATGCAGGATCAGAACTGAGAAATTGAGAGTGTTCCCTAAATCCCAATCATGAAATAAATACCACAATCAAGCATGATCTGCCAAAATAGAAGGGTAAGAATTTTTGAAAATTCTCATTGAGATCACTCTTCCGGGAAACATGGAAACATAGGAACAAATGGATAGCAATTTTGATTTCACAGTTAATTTTAATGTTAGAAGATCTGAATTTTTCAATTTGCATAGTTTGGGCAGGAAGTGGTAAGAGTTATTGAGAATGTATAGAAATGTTCTTGTTTTCGTTTCTCTGCAAATGTGTGACAGATTCTGGTCAGTTCAACATCTTTTATAGCAATAATCCAAGTGAAGCTAGTAGATAATCCTGGTGAAAAGGATAAAGACCAGCCAGCATGCTTTCTTCCAATGAGCATGAGGCACTCCAAAAGTGCGTAAATTTCATAGATAGTGAACAGCAATTTTGTAAATCACCCTGATAAAGCTCAATTCAAATCGAAACTGGAACCAGTCAACATCACTCTAGCTCTTATTACCATTTTTAAAATACAAATAAGAATTTATGGAAAAGTAAAAAAATCGTTTGAGAAAAAAAAATGTCTAAATAGATGGGCGTTCAACATGAAAGGACGAAACGTCAAAAAACTAACAAGGAAACTGCATTATAAATACCCAAAATGACAAGAAACGAGAAAAGCTGATAAGCGCATAGGATCCGTGGTACATGATAAATTACTATGCACTTACATACTGTCAAGCTCAATAAGATCTGCCTTGACTAACAATGCAGCAAGACGATATAGCCCAAAAGGAACAGGGCTATTTACATCCATGCGTTGATAATACTGGAACTTGAATCCGAGAATTTGGGAGGCGTGAGACTGGAAAAAAATGCATGCCACATGGAAAACAGTGAGATGTGATAGGCAACAAGACCAAGCTGTTAGTCACAGTTTGCAGAATATTTTACCATACCTTTGGAAACATAGGAATTAGATCATAAAAGATACTGCAGTCTGGATGCAGTTCAAAACATTCCAAAACCTGATACACCAAGCATTTGACGTTACTGCCTATCAAGTAATCAGTGCTACGAGCCTTCAAAATAAAAGATTTTTGACAGGAACAGATGTTTGAAAGAGACAATGGCAGTGATCAGATTAAGATAGATAAGATAATAACAAGTTAAGAACTTACTATATCAAAAACACGATTTGGATCCAAGTCAAAGTGTCCAATTAACGACTGCAAAGAGATAACCGTTAGATCCAATAAGCAGAAAAGGATGCTGCATTATATCACATCGAAACTACAATGATCCACAACCTTAATCAAGCTTACTGCTGATGATGAAGCATTGTCTGTTCTAATCAACCCACTGTGACAAAGAAGTGTAACCTACACAGTAAACAAAGGAAACCAAATTCGAGCCCAAACATAAAACAAAGTGAATCCCTGAATAACTCTTCTTGAACAGAAAAATCACAATAAAAAATATAATTTTTAGTTCTATCATGCCATAGACTAGACAAGGGCCAGATAAAATAAGCAAAATCAAGTTTGGTGAAAATAAGACAAACAAAAAAGATTGATAAGAAACAACACCAGTAATCAATGATCACTTTAGCCATCAGTTTAGCTTCTCAACCGGGAAAAAGCCCAATATATGTCGTACTTCAATAAAAAGAGATACAAATATGGTGCGCTTCAAAAACCCAAAACAGCCAATAATAAAGGAAAAGGCTCAACCTCGCTCTCTTCCTGATTTCACGGAGTGGCTCCCTCTAAACGAGAGGAAAAATGATGATCACTTCTTGATGTTGGCAGTGTAATAAGTAGATTAACAGGACTGATTTCAGATTTGGAAAAGAAAATTGATATTCAGTCTTCGTATCCTTACAATAAATCAACACGTGTTCCAATCTTTTGAAGAAAATTTCTTACCACTTAAAATATACCATGCACACAAAAGTTTGCAGCTGGAAAGGGTCTCTCAATGTGAAGTACTATCTTCTTCTCACAGTGATTCTCATTTTATATGATGAGATGAACAGCTAGTTGTTTATGTCGATGGATATATTTGCTACAAAATCTTCAATGGTATTAAGAGAAAATTGTAAGTGCAGTATCGAAGGACATTTTAGAAATTTTCAAAAAGAGTTTTACTTTAGATTTATTGACTACAGTTTAGAACGGTTTTTCTTTTTATATACATTATCATCAATTATGTTATTAGGTTACTATTTCAGAATATATTGAAAAAAGTATCTACTAAACTGACAGGGAAACATGATTTAAGAGGTTATGCTAAAGCATTACCCCAAGTACCCAGAGCTCAGGCGTTGCCAGCATGCTTATGTGATATAACTATTGCGGACATTGCATATGATACTGAAAATATTGGCGACAACAGACTGCGGCTGAAGACTTCCTAGCATTAACTGATCTTTCAGACTTCAGCCTGCGTATTGTCTGAATGCAAATCAAATGGACCCACTAATCACCCATCATTAGGCAAAAAATGGGACAAAATTCTCAGTTAGACCAGCGCAGAATCCAGATATTGAGCCATTAACTTGAGGTTATCAGTGTAAAGTGTTTCAGCTGGACAACTGGATTTTTCCAACCATTAGCAAAGCGAATCACAAGGGAGTGAGTTTGAAATTTACTTAACACAACCATTCTTCTTTGTTTCACTTCTTAAACAGCATTTCCCAGCCGTTCAGCAGATTCAAGAAATTTACAGATGATATCCTAATCACATATTGGTGCCGGATATTTCACCTATACCTTCAGCCTTTCCATCAATTCCATTTGATCCTTTGGCGCTAGATCATATCTAAATGAGTTATTTCAAATTCACTAAAAGTTCCAGAAGACCATGACCTAAAAAATGAGGTGAATGGGTAAATCTGATCTGTCCTGTAACAAGAATTCAATTTAAATAAATTCACTGTTGTACATAGCCTTCACTAGAAAAAAGTTCACTTTTTAAAGAAAGTCAGAGTTAGCTCACCAGTTTTGCATAGCCTTCACTTTCTTCACGAAGAAGATTGAATTTTGTTTGTTGGTAAAGAAGTCGAGTGTTCACCCGAACCTACAAGTCAAAGTAGACCATCACTAAATATCATATTAAGCATCACATAATGTCGATAAAACTGACAGAATGTGAGAGATGATTTAGTCAATCCACCAGCAATGCTGAAAATAAAATGAAATCACAAATTGATGAATAGAAAGTAAATGAACATAAGCATTGAACAAATCTAATCGCCATACCTCTTTGGCCTTTAATTCTTGAGCTTTTATTTTAGTGAATTCCGATTCCCATAAAAACTCTTCCTGCGAAAGGATATTAGAATTATGAAATTCTAAATAAAAAATAGAGATTACAAATTAGAACTAACTGAGGTGAAACTGGTGATTAAATATTTCCCGAATGTAAAAAACATGCTTCACCTCACATCGTTCTTGGAAAAGTCTACACGGAACCAAGGCAGACTCCACCAGCCATTTAGACTGCGCAAAAAAAAATATGCATCCTTTAATCAGATAACAGAGAATGTCTAAAATCACTCATAGATCCCTTATTAAAGAAGAACTTTGGGCAACTTTTCACCAAGCATATCCATAATGTTTATGCATCAAATATGTCGCACTTCTTTCAACAAAAGAGAATATGAAACCATTTTACAAAAAAGATCTCAGTTTCAGATGAATAGTATCTTATTCTTAAAACTGCTCTTAGAGAGTCATTCGCATTCTTAGAATCTTGAATATGTACTGCTACTTCCATCCATTGGTAGCACTTTCTTGTCCAAACCACTACTTCAATCGCCTTTATAGCCAAAACTATATCCTCACGGCTTTATAGCCAAAACTTCAATCGCCGTAATTTTTCTCAAAGTACTAATATCTTCTAGGGTAGAAGAAAAGGTGAACGTTGCACTAACCCAAGAAAACAAAAGGCAATAAGAATATCCGTTGAGCTGGAAGAGAACAAAACAATTTCCATACAAGATCTCAAAAAGGTAGAGCATAAACCATTTTCACTAGCCGAGTTCGATATTCTCCAGGCATTGTATGCTGCAAAACAGTAGATAATCCCCGTTCAGTTCCATGACCTCCAAACAAACAATATATGATTTAAGAAATTTCTTATCAAGAATCCATAGGCTATGAAGATACATCCCAATATGCAACAAGAATGATTGGCCCTTAGAGCAAAACAAAGGACATTTTATCAAGTAAAAACAGTAAAATTGACACAATTCAAAAGGTCGTCACATACAAACCTACCATGATAGTAAGTCAGTCACAGGCTCAAATGGAAGCAAATAATCCAGATGTATTACTTTTATCCGTATCTTAATGAAGAAAGTAATGAATCGACAAAAAAGAACAATTAATGTCTCACAAACTTTGTCCGCAGAAAACAAGACCAATGATGTTAACTTCTGCAAACTTTCCTACCACTGAACTAAGGGCCTGACCAACTAGTGCAATCGGAAGCAGTGACATGAGTTTCTATTATTAACGATCAAAATTCAAAATTTGGAATGAAATTATGGAACCGAGTAAACCTCATGCTTGGATTCGATCAGGCACAATGTTTACGTATCTTCACAAACTCATAGGAATGTTTCTCATTAAAATTTTCAGCATCCTACACTCCTTATTTTGTATGTAATATTCACACAATATAATTATGTATTCAAAAACTGGATTGTTATTATAAAAAATAACTTGAGCCAACTGCTCTATGAACTGTCTTTTTCTGAAATCCACCAGGTCCTCGGCCCCTTCTTTAAGAAACAGCGCTGCATTTATAGTGGGTTGAAACAATTTTGATTAAAGTGGTTTTCAATAGCTCTTGAACAATAACTACTAAAATAAGCTAATGGACATCATTTACGTGATTCTCTACCCTTCATACCGAAAACTGTTGCCATAGTTTCTTAATTAGGGAAAGGTCGAATTGCTGTTTCAACAGCAGTATCAACGACTACAAGGCCCTATTTAGTTGACCACATCTCACCCTCCCACAGATGCCAATCTTCTAGGGCGGATTGGGGAGTCACATGTGAGCAAGATAGCTATTTCCTCAATTATTATGGCTTGGGTGACTGGAACCATTGTTAAGTCCACCCAAGTCCTCCTTTCAATGATATTTTGTCCTCATAGGCTATATAAAGCATTCCGAAAAGAGATATATACACACCAAGAGAGAGGGGGAGAGAAATTGTAAAATTATTACAAAACATTGATCAATTTTGATAAACACGGATCAGCTACACAACTAAGCATGAAGGCGCATAAAAATTATGTAAAATGTTTCAATTTGAGAAACAGTCTATTAAAAAACCGGGCATTTTCCCAATATCAGCGTAAGGAGCTGAGCTGAGAATCCAAGAAAATCATGCTGCTCATAAAAAAACTCATTTAAAGGGTTTTTCTAGTTAGTTTCAGGCCTCAAAAAAATAATAATCTTTCCCAGACAATGACAATGTGACACAATTGTGAGTTTTTCTTCGTATTTTACATATCTTCTCACGTGTTACTGCTTGTTGATAAAAAGTGCGCACTGAGTTTCTCGATTTACAGCTTTCTGTAGTGAGAAAAGCGTAAGTTCCAATTTTCCAACACACCAATGATAACCATAGTTTCCTTCGTGAAAAGAGGTTCATTCTACGGAGTAATATCGATTGTCCTACCATCCATCTCGCCCACCAGGCCACAGTAGAAGAGACCGACAAATTTATGGTGCATCTATCCTCAAAAAATTCAAATATCTTTATCATTGTTGGCCAAGATCCACTGTCAGCATATATAGCCAGTTTAAACAAATGGATAAGACTAACTTCAAAAAACTATCACAATTCGCCACTCTATTAAAAGTTTGCATGTAAATAAGAAACAGGCCAAAGAGGCAACCAAACACTAATAGAAACGCCCTAATCTCCATGGGAAGGCGAGAGAAGGCAAACTCACGTCCTGCCCCATATGTGCGATTATGTCGGCCAAAACTGAAGATATATCGTCCTTGGAACATTCGCCGGGAAATGTCGCCGAGTCCAGCGCAGCTCTAAACTTCTGCAAAGGCAGGTCTCCACGAACCTTCCAAGTAGGCAGAACGACAGTCGTAACTACAACCACCACAAACAAAACCAACAAAAAAAAATCCACTACAAAAGTAGTTGCTAGAGAACACCGAGGTCGGACCATAGCCCAGCAGAGCTCGTAGAGGAATCTCGACGCGGGGACAGCTTCCTTCAGCTTGAAGCCACTGCTCGAGCTCCTCCATTCTCTAAGTGCCTCCTCGGTGACGTACTTGAACTCCGGCAACTGCACCGCCATCTCCACCCCCGCCCGAGGGTGACGGCGAAGAAGGCCTCTGCAGACGGATAAGCCGAAGCTAGGAGGAGGAAGAAACCCTAGGGTTTCAGGTGTTCCTCGGAATTGGCATGGAGGAGCCGAAGATCGGCCGGTGAGATTGAGGAGAGGCGATCTTCGGTTCCCCTGCGGAGTCCAGGGCAGGGATTTTGGGGACCCCTCGATTTGAAGAAACCCCTTTCTGCAGCGAATAACGAGTGCGCTTTTACGAATAAAACCCTATTATAACTCATTTTTACATTTATACCACTTCTCCATAAAATAAATAGAAACTTATCTAAAATAAAATATTTATAAATAAATATAAAAATATAATCGATCAACCGGCCGGCCCGGAATCAGCCGAAAAAAATAAGATAGTATTTTTTCTTGTGAGAAAAAAATATTGTCATTATTCAAGAGTTAAATATTTCAGGGATGAGAAAATATTTTTTTATTTATATTTTTATGAATTAATATATTCATTTTTGCTGTCACAAATAAACATGTGCCTTTGAAAATGAAAGGCAATAAATGTGTAAATTATACTCTAAAAAAATAAAAATGTTTAGAGTGATTATTTACCCGCAACCCATTAAAAATAAAGAGCCATCTAATAAAGAAATTTCCCATCGAATTTAGTTTTTCTGTTATTTCCCCTTATCTGCATATTTTCTCTAAATATTGTCAGAAAATAGATTCCAACAAGAGACTACGCATGCAACGTGGGATCAAACTGACCACACGATGTACATGAAGAACACGTCAGCCGTTAAAAAAAAATCATTTTCATGAATGTAAACTTATTCGTACCTTTATTTTTTTATTATTTACCCTATTTTCTCTCTCTCTCTCTCTCTCTCTCTCCCTCTCAAAGTTTCAAGCGCAGACAAAGCCCAGGTCGGGCCTAAGTTTAAGCTTTCTCGGGCCCAGCCCAGCGCCTATTTCATAAGTTAATGACACAAATTGGCAGATTTAATAAACCCACCTTTTAATCAGGTCGGTAAAAAAGGGCCGGGCCTAAGCCCGGAGAATAGGCTCCGGGCTCCAATGGGCCGTTGACTTCTCCGATTTGGGGGATCCGGCAAAGCAGCTCAGACAAAGATAACAGTTGACCATCAACCGTCCCCGAGTTCCAAGGTTTTCAACAGAGATGGCCGAGAAGGGGGAGAAACCACTGGGGACCACGGTACCTCACCACCATCATCCCAAGAGAGAAAACACAGCCAATAACACTGAAGGAAACCCCACACAAGCTCCCCAATCGAAGGGGAGAGAAGATAGATAGATAGATAGATCGAGAGAGAGAGAGAGAGAGAGAGAGAGGTGTGGGCAGACCTCCCTGCCGCTGCTGGAGCCTTCTTCGTCGGCACCACATAAGCTTCTTTCTAGTTCAACAGAGAAAGGAGCAGAGGGAGGAGGAGAGAGAGAGAGAGGCAGTCGTCATGCTCATCAGTCGCACATAGGCTTCTTTCTTGGTAAACAAAGGAAAGGGAGGAGATGGATGGAGTCAAAGGAAGAGAGAGAGAGAGGGCAGAGAGGGAAGGGAGGGAGGGAGAAAGAGAGAGAGAGAGAGAGAGAGAGAGAGAGGGGGGGGGGGGGCACAGGCTAGTGAACCGAGGAAGGGGAGAAAGGAGTCAGATGGCGTCGAAGGGAGATGGAAAGATTGATAGAGAAAGAGAGAGCGAGAGAGAAAGGGGAGAAAGGAGAGAGAGTAGAAGGGAGATAGAAAAATTGACAGTGATAGAGAGAGAGAGAGAGAGAGAGAGTGAGGACGGGAAGGCATAGGCTTCTTTCGAGGTAAACAGAGAAAGGGGAGAAAGGGGACAGGAGTCAAATGGAGAGAGAGATAGATAGAGAGAGAGAGAGAGAGAGGGGAGCACCTGTCTTCTTCCGTCGCCGGCGGTATCTTCTCCCCTCGTCGTCCCGCCTCCCTTATCATCATCATCATCATCTCCCGTCGGCAGAGGTGAAGGAGTCTGCAAATCCGGCGGGCCTGGTGGGGATGCTCGTCTGTGTATTATCCATGCTTCCAATGAACGACGCGGTGGCGCCGCCGCCGTCGCCCTCCTCGCAGGCCTGCCACTTCTTCAGTGCCTGCGGCAGCGTCATATCGAGATCTATCCCGTAGCTCTCCTCCTCCTCCGCGTCCGCCGGCTTCCACAGTTCCGCCAGCGACGAGAGCACGTTCACCGCGTGCCCCATGTCCGGTCGCTGGTGGGGCTCCCTCGCGCAGCAGTGCCCCGCGAGCTCGCCGATGATGGCGACGCTCGTCATGGTCTCCTCGTCGAGGTCGATGGTGGGGTCGATCGCCTTCCTGAAGGTCTCCTTGTTCAGCTGCATCCGCCTGAACCAGGTCACCAGGTGCACGCTCTCCTCCGGCTGGCTCTCGTCCAGGGCCTTCCTCCCCGTTATCAGCTCCATCACCACCACCCCGAAGCTGAACACGTCGGCTTTTGTGGTCACCCGCCCCATCACTGCAATTTCAGTCCAAAAATTCATACACACATACATACATACATACATCTATATATATATATATATCAAAATTTTCAGATTTTTCAAATATATATATTCATATCACGGGCTGGCCCTGGGCTTGGATTTCAGATTTTGGAGCAAAAATTTATGCCTACATGGATATATATGTCAGATTTTCTTCTGTGGATTTCAGGAAATTTTATGAGAAACATCCACCCAGATCAGAAAATCATCCAAAAATAGGGGCATCTATTTCGTGTAATCATCCTAATATTCATTTTATGAACAGATCAAAATGATAAGGCTAGCCCTAGGCTCGGATTTCAGATCAAAGAATCTGTTTGGATGATTGACCCTGAAAAACACCATTTTATCAGGTTTTGCATGCCTATGTAAGATGCCCACCTGGAAGCAGTGGTACCTGTCTATATGCATGCGTATATGTGCGCCTAAGAAGACGTTTACCAATATAATGTCCATAAAATAAGCCCAAAATAATTAATTTTTTGTGGTGTGGGGCCCAGGTCATGCTTGTGGATGGCAAACTCGTTGACTAGGTCACCCTGGTCAATGAGCTTACCAATGTAGATTCCTACAAGGAAGCCCAAATGAGCAATGCCATGAAGCATTCTGTTTGACCAGGATTCGGCATACTTTCTGATTGAAAAGTGTAACAGAATAAAGAAACAAATACGATATTAATGAAGATCCCCCCTCCCCCCTTCCTTGGTTCATTTTGAGCCAACTCAGGGAATATCTTTTCACACGTCACGATTTCAGAACCTTGTTTTCATGATATGTTCGAAAGTTGTCCGCATGTTTTCCCCATCTTTGGTTCTCATAATTATAAGTCAAATAAGATGGTCTGACATGTTTCTTCGCCATGAAAGGAACATGGATGAACAAGCAATCTCAGAGAAAAAAATGAAAACTCTCTGCAAACATTAGATGAACCATTCCAGAATCCGGCAAAGCCAATCCAATTCCGGGGCTAATTCAAATGCTCTTGTAAATATGTTTGTTAAGATCCCAGTGTCGGCTAGGGGTCAGGACATTATGGACGAGAACCAACCAGAAAGCATCCAGACTTTGACCAATGCATGGTGAATCGAGCCACAGTTGGATGGGCCAAGCCCTCACCGGTTCTAGGCTCATCCATCAGATCAGATCTACTTCATGAATCATTCATTTTTGCAAGGATTCGCAAGCAAGACCAAGCAATAGGAACAACAAACAATGCATCAGATCCACAATAGAAATCAAAGAACATGTCTTCTTCGGTGTACAAGGGCATTCATTACCTGCATACTCTGGGGCGAGATACCCAAAAGTTCCCGCAAGTCTTGTCTCAATCGAACATTTACCATCGGGTGCGAGCCGAACAAGCCCAAAATCTGAGACCTTGGCCTTCATATCATCTCCGAGAAGGATATTAGAAGGTTTGAGGTCCCTGTGAATGAAGCTCTGGCGAGCCAAATTGTGCAGGTACTCCACTCCCCTCGCCACATCCAGGGCAATCCCGAGCCTCTTCTTCCACTCCAATGGCTTCAAACCCTCTTCCTTCCAATTGAACAAATGGCGACTTAGTGTTCCCTGGGGCATGTACTCATACACCAAGAGCCTCTCATTCCCATCCAAGCAGTACCCGAGGAGGGAGACAAGATTCCGGTGGCGAACTTTGGTGAGGACTGCAATCTCTGACTTGAACTCAGTGAGGCCCTTCGTTCCCATGACACCAGATTCCATCCTCTTCACTGCAATCTTGGTCCCGTCGTGGAGCTCCCCCTTGTAGACTGTCCCAAATCCTCCCTGCCCCAAGATGTTCTCCTCGCTGAAATTGTTCGTCACGTTCCGAAGAACCTGGATCGAGATCAGCATGTTCCCTGACTCCACCATGTGGACATCACCGGGGGAGCTGGTTGATGGGATGAATGCCTCCCTCACTGCCCCCGTTCCACCGTTAACACTGGATCCGGCAACTGTGATCTTAACCACATCTTGGTCAGAACCAGAGTGGCGGGGATGGATCACTATAGTGTTTGGACTCTGAACCCTTCCGAGGTGATGCTGCCTCCTGTTATATAAACATAAACCCAGCAGTCCAACCACAGCCAAGCCGAAGACACTGCCAATGACTGAACCCACTATAACTCCAACATTTCCCGAAGTAGCTGGTGTCTTGGTTGCTGGGCTGGTGCCTGAGCCATCCTGGCTGTCAGCACCTCCTCCTGAAGAAGAGTTCGAGGTGGAGTTTGAGGAACTGCTGTTGTTCTTCCCAATACTCGGGTTTCCAGCTGTGCGTACCAAGACATTGCTTGAAAATGGAGGAACCTGCCCATAAATCAAGTTACTTGACACATCCAACTCCCTGAGGTTCGGCATGCTGGTCAGCGACAGCGGGATCGTTCCAGTGAGATTGTTGTTGGAAAGCAGGAGCCTCTGGAGAGACTTGATGGAGGCGAAGTCGGGGGAGATTGTGCCGGCGAGCCCCATCTTCTGGAAGTTGATAACGGTGATGTTCCCACTGCGGTCGCAGGTGACGCCCAGCCACCCTGCGCAGGGGTCGTTCCCCTCCCAGTCCTCTGCAAATCTCGTCGGGTACCCAAAGGACTTGGCGATGGAGATCAGAGCGCTCACTCGGGGGTCGCACTCTCCCATGGTCGTTAAGCAGAACCTCTCGCTCTTTGGATCCACGTCCACCTCGGTGACGGTCTTGGGGAAGACGGGGACGGGCCCCTGGAGCAGATTGTTCGTCAATGTCACTGTCTGCAGAGATGGGAGAGATGTGAGCGAGTGTGGGACGGGGCCAGTGAACAAATTATCCCGGAGTTGCAGGTCGCTGAGGGTGATAAGGCCAGAGAAGTCCGGGAGCGGCCCCGAGAAGCTGTTGGAATGGAGCCAGAGCTGGGTGAGGGAGGTCATATTCTGGACGACATCAATGGGGCCGGTGAGACGAGTGCTTCCCCTCTGGTTATTGAGCCACAGGGACTGGAGAGAAGAGGATCCAAGGCTTGCCGGGATCCCACCCTGGAGGAGGTTGAAAGCTAGGGCAAGATGGGAGAGGCTGGGGAAGGCGCTACCGAAGAAGTCTGGGATTCTGCCTGTGACATTGGCGGAGCTGGCGGAGAAGTTCACCAGCGTAGAGGCGTCCTTCAAGCTGGGGGGGACATCCCAGGGCTCGAAGGGGTTGTTGTCCAGGGACACCGCCTGCAGGCCGGAGAGCTCAGAGAAGAAGTCGGAGGGGATGGAGGAGAAGCGATTATTGTGGAGGAGGAGTATCTGGAGCGTGCTGAGGCCGGCGAGGGAGGGGAGAGGCCCTCCGATCTGGTTCTCCTGGAGCTCCAGCCTCACCAAGCCGGTTAGATTCCGCACCTCCGCCACCAGCTCGCCGGAAAGGCTCCGGTTCCCGATCTGGATGGCGGTGATCCGGTCGCCGGAGCAGGAAACCAGCCGCCAGGTGCAAGGATCGGTGGTCTCCGACCAGCCGAGGGCCTGCGCTGCCCCGAGCCCCCTCGACACGGCCTGCATTGCTGCGGCGTCCCCGGGGGACGCCTGCGCCTCCGCGCTCCCCAGGAAGAAGACGACGACGAGAGAGAAGACGACGACGAGAGACGAAAACCTAATTGCAGTCCCGCTGCTCCCCATTGCGGCTGCGGCGGCGGCGGCGTTAGCTTCCTGCTGCTGCTACTACTTCAGAGAAGATATTTATGCCACTCTGGGGAGGAAGGTCTGAGGGTCGCATTCCCCGCTTCCCAGGGCTCGGCACAGAGAAAGAGCGAGAGATAGATGATAGAAGAGAGAAGAGAGACGAGAGGGAGAGGGAGAGAGAGAGAGAGAGAGAAGAGAGAAGAGAGAGAAGGGTTTGCAGGTCCGCATCTGCAGGGCAAAGACGACAGAAAAAATGGCAGCCGTGTAGAGAGAGAGTGAGCGAGAGAGAGAGAGAGAGGAGAAGAAAGATGAAGAGAGAGGATATCGAGGAGAGGGGAGGAAGAGTGGGCCAGGGCCTAGTGGACTGATCCAATGGGAACTCGCCACGTCGAAAAAACCCAATAGAAACCGGGCAGGAATTCCTTTACGGGTCCCACAGATGCTCACCAGCGAAGCGCCTCCTGTCATATGGGGTTTGGGCTCTGTGCCCCCGCACGAATCCACCGCTGCCAGCTGGTTGGATTCTCCCCCCCATCACCTCGAAAATCCCTTTCCGGTCCACTAATTGACAAGGAACCAGTGGGGATGCGCCACTTTCCATTGGCGGATCGTTGGGAGTCTTGGGCTCTCCTGAATGGGCCATTCCCCCTATTGGATAGCCCATTTACGTGTTTTTTATCTGACCTCCTTTATTCTAAAATCCACCAAATTACAAACGAGAATTAATTTTATTTGCATATATCGTAAATTATAATATAATGTGGCATTTACTCTCTCTCTCTCTCTCTCTCTCTCTCTCTCTCCCTCTCTCTCTCTCGCTTTCTCTCTATCATCCATCCCCTCTAAGAGTCGTAGCATCTTCACAAGGTGCCCAAGTCAGCCCACCAACCTCCTCAAAGTCAACCCTGACTTGTGGTAAAATTCCCATTATCTGGCCATAAATCTGAGTCATCCAATTCCAAAATCAGAAGTCTCCTCCTCCAATAACACCAGCATCCAAGTCAGCGAACCCACCTGCTCAAAGTCAACCCATCATGGTCAAACCCAGAAGAAAAACACATACAGATTACGATGATTTAACGACGGTCTCAAGTTTTCTAATTCTAAAACCAGTTGACAACGAATGGTGTCTTTTTCATAGTCTCAGGGTGAGGTCGAGCTCTTCCGGCGGCGGCGCCGGTGGTGATCTGGGGGGGACTCCGGCGGCGGCGAAGCTCCGGGGAAAGAAGAACCCATCTCCCTTCTCCTGCAAGAACATCGCCGCCCGGCCATGGCCGCCCTCGCGGTGCTGCAAGGCGTGAGCTTTGATCTCTATGGCCATCACCTGAGGGGAGCCATGGAGGGGGAGGGAAGCCAGGCTAGGGCAAGACGGGAAGGAGCTCAGTTGCAGACCCGTCTTCGCCATGGTTCTCTCCCTCTTGTGGGCGTTCTGGTGGCCCCCCAGTGCCTGGGAGCTGAAGAACTTGCGGCGGCAGTAGTTGCAGGAGAAGACTCTGGGGGCGACGGCGGCGGAGGCGGCGCCGCTGCGGGGAGGAGCTCTGGTGAAGCTCTCGCCGGTGCTGGAGAGGGAGAGGTCCAGTGAGAGCTTCCCGGGGGAGGTACTCGTCGTCTCCTCCTGGTTCGAGAGGTTGGAGGCGACCTGGCTGCAGACCTCCGAAGAGGCCTCGGAGGGCTCTGAATTCGACCTGTTCATCCTCGTGGAGCAGAAAATCTTCGAACTTCTTCAACCTGAAATCATGGTGGTGCTGAAATCCTCGTGAAGAAGAAGAAGCAGAAGGCATTAAATATAGTATGAACTAATAAATCATCAGCAGGAATTAAAGGCTTTGATGAGAAAATATAAACATTTATGGTAATAATTTTATAAATTATAGAATTTTTCGCTGAAATTAAATCCTGACTTCGAGATTTCTCACGAGAGACTAACCATACTGCTTGCTACAATGAGACGAGCAGAAAGAGAGATCGTCTACAATGAACGCCAAAATAAATGAAAAATATGTCCTCGTTGAGCTCAAATTTATGGGAATTTCATTGACGACCATGAGAATATTACTAAATATGACCATAAATACAGAAAACCCAAGATATCCGCTAGCAAAGAGAGAGAGGTCGAGGATCCTTCCAGTGATAGAAAACGGGAAGAAGGCTCTGATGCTTCCCCTTTCTTCGTGTTCTCTTCTTCTTTCCTCTGTAGCCATCTGAGAAGATTTCTTCACTGTTCATACTCCTCCGCCGGATTCACCAGAAGGGGGGAGATTTCCTCCGTCGTCGCTAAGAAGGGCTGGGGGTCCAAGAAGCAAATTTTACTATTCTAGAGAGAGAAAATGTGCAGAATCCGGACTACCCATGTAGCTGCCGCAAGATTCAAACCCTTTCGAGAGGACCCAAAGCGGTGCTGTCTGACGAAGACTGTCGGAGGGGAGAGAGAGAGAGAGAGAGAGAGAGAGAGAGAGAGAGAGAAGAGAACAAAACTACGAGCAGTTTAGGGGTACAGCAAGAAGGAGGAGGGGGAGCAACGTAAACCCATGCCCCAAATCCTCTCACCTCGCCGGCTTTCCATGTAGAAATACCGGGATTCTTCTCCTAAACGGAGCTCCTCGCCACTGTGAATCTTCGAAAAAAACAGACCCAATCGGGAAACTCTGCGGGTGGACACCTTCAGCTCTGACGTCGGAGAAATGGATTCAGGCTGGAGAGAGAGAGAGAGAGAGAGAGAGAGGGACGAGGGGGAGGGGGGAATAAGGGGGGAGGAGGGAGATGCAGAGAATGCGATGGAGTATTCGGCGGGGGCCGAGGGGCATGGCACAGAAAGCAGGAGGAGTTCGTGATTGTGGGGCAGGGTGGGGGAGCCAGGTTGAGAAGGGCTGCCGGGAGATGGAAAAAAAGTGATAGGGAAGTGAGAGAATTAAGATTTTCTCCTCCCTCTTCCTCCTTTCCCCTGGTTTTATACTCCTTGATGTCGTTCACCCATTTGCTTTTCTCATAGCGGGAGAGAGAGAGAGAGAGAGAGAGAGAGAGGGAGTTTCAGGTGCAGCATTGCTCGGTTGTTCTTCTTTTACTGGAGATGACTGACAGTTCTCTCCTCTTGTCCCACGACGCCATGCAGAATCCCTTCTGCTGTTCCTTCTCAGTAGTTTACGTAAACGATACCCCCACAACGGAACCAAAACATCCACTGAACTTGCATATACGCCACTGGCCAAGCTGACGATGCTTTAAAGTGGTTGCGAGAGGACACGGGAATGGCGTAGATGTGGTCTCGAGGTCATGGTCCCCCTTCTCCCCCTTCCCAACGATAAATCCTGCAAAACTTCACTTTTATAAACTAATTAAAAAAATAATGGCACAGAATTTTATCCCTCAACATCGGGTATTTAAAAAAAAAAATTATTCAAAAAATTGTATAAATATCTGAAGAAAGTATTATCCTCAATGTCTAATATTCGTGTGTCCCATACAATTTGATTATAAAAAAAATAATGGTAAAATTTCCCACTAATTAAATAAAATATGTAGTTATCACATAAATTAATTTTTAAAAGGTACCACGGTTTTAAGATATCAACTCATTGAGGTTGATTTACTGGATTTATCTAATGACTAAGGGTACGTTACATATACGAAAATGTGAGATTTAGTCGACTCATTAAATAAATTATTATTATTCATAAAAAAATTAAATATGTATTCTTGATAAACATATTTTTTCTTATGAATACTAAGCCATCCAATGACTATTATTTACTTACTTTTGGCATGCTTACGTACATACATATTCACATGTATATTGCTGATAAATGAAGCTTAATTATAAATATTATAGGGGGGATATATGCAAAAAAAATCCTTAAGAATCTCATCACATGAAATAATTTTTACTAAATTGACCATTTATTAAAAAAATTACTATTAAAAATGAATATGCTGGTGCAATGTAATTAGCTGGATGACGTGGAAGCTCGTCCACCGTCCTTTTCTTCAGCTGTGGCGACTGGGCCGGGCAAAGGGACAAGGAAAGAGATCTGACAGCTGATCATGGGCCCACAAGGATTCGACGACTGGGCCAAAATCTTACTGGGCTCCTCTCCGATTGCCTTGTCTCCTCCACCCACCTCTTTGAAGGCCGTGCGGTCGTGCGGTCGTTGAAGGCCGTTGATTCACTCGTGTTAAGAATCTGACGGCTCACATGGTGTACAATCAATCTTTATAGTCTTTGGGTGCAAGCGCCAAGGCGGGCCCAGCCACCGGGTACTACGGTGATAGTGAAGTCTGATATTTCCATTTTACCATTCACTAAATGACACTGGGGGTTTATTTTTAGAATATGTCTATTTTTGATGAGGGCGACGTTGCTATACAGATATCAATTAATCCACTTTGTGATTTTATTTTTGTACGCCCTCTTTCAGTATAAAAATCTAGGATTTTATTTTCAATAGGTAAATAGTGATGCCTCATTTATTTATTTATTTATTAAAAACCATTAAAAATTATTTTAACCAAAAAATATTTTAAACTTTAATTTATTAAAACCTCAACAAGCTGATGATTAGAGCACCTCCCATGTAAACTATTTATTCATCATTTTAAGAATAAAATGGCATAAGTGAAAATTTATGGAATAAATGACATCACATTTTTCTTCTTTATATGGTGCATGATAAAATTATGAGCTGTTAATAACTTGACTTTTTTGTGAGGATATAACACTAAATAATGGCTGAACTTAACCTTAGTTATGGGTTATGGCATAAGGCATGCATATGGTATGGCACAAGACATGTATGTAGCATTGTGAAAACTTGGAATGTTTAGCACCACAAAACCTCACTACAGATGATGTGGAGGAAGGGGGGGAGGTGTTGGCATGTGCAGGACATGCCCATGCCTCAAACATCGATACCCATGTTGAACCATGATTGGAAAAAGAACAAAAGCTATGCTACAAAAGGAACATTGATATAAAGCACTTGTAAGAAAAAGTTTGACGGACAAATGAGTGGTCCCAAACACAATCATGAACTTACGATTGAATGTAAAATAATAAGTGGGATCTAAACATAAATTCCTTTGAATTGAAGTGAATGATGATTACTTAATCTTCTCTAATTACCATTTTTGTTGGGTCTTAAAATGAGAAAATAGTAAACACTTCTTTCTATTAATGACTTTGTGAATGGTAAGAAGATATTTGTTACTTTAGACTCCTTGGGCCCATAATTTAATGCTTGAATAGGAGGCTCCTTGACTTGAGTTGTCTTTGATTAAGGAGGCTAGTTGGATATAAAAATAGGTATTATGCTCCTGTCTACTATGTAAGTCTATGCTCTCCTTTTTATGATGAGAAAAAAAATATTAGTCAAATAGGAGAGGTGAACGATATAGGGGGTCAATGATCACAAAGCAACAACCTTTGTGGACTTGTTGGCTCTAAAAGTAGGTGGGGTCTAGGTGGACATTGCACTTGACGCAAGTTGCCCCATTTCAAGTCACTTGGTTAGACTCCCTATGATGGCATAATTTTTATAATATTAAATAAGATGAGATGCACAGTCAAAAATAAGACATGACTTAACAAACAACACCATATATAGATAATATCAAAAACTTATACAATGAGCATATTTTCCTAATTACTAATATCATATTGTAGACTAGAACATTCATATTATTTATATTGTCACCATAAAATACAACTCATGTTGAGAGAATAATTCTAAAAATTCATGAAAAGATAATATAAAAACATGATTTTTTTCTAAATCTAAACAAAATAATACCTTTAGAGTTGATGTACCTCTTTTTCACATGAAGGGACATGAATAAATTACATTTTTTGTCATTTTATTCATAGAAATTATGAACTAAGCTGCATTAGATGATCTAGGGGCTACACTTGGCTATCTAAAACGTTTTACAAAGCACTAGTTATGTTCTAAAATAAAAGTAGTGTTAGACTAGAGATGTGATAAGTCTTCATTATCATGAGTTAATAATTAGTAAATAATATAATTTTAGCCTTAACTTATGATAAATAAACTTATATTTGTGTTAAAGTATGATTTGTAATTTTCAGTTGATTAACGTGAAATTTTGGGTAATTATGTGATTTTATATGATTTTTACAGTCTTACTTTTGAGATAAATAAAGAATAAAAAATAAAAATATTACAAAATAGGGGGACCTGCTGGCCAGCCAAGCCCACAAGCGGGTCGGAAGCACAATCGTGGAATAGCTGCGAATAGGGGCTTGAGCGGCTTGGCTTGGACCGATAGGGGCATGTGTGCGTCACTCTCCTTCCACGTCATCAGTGGCTAGCCAACTGTGGGATAAAGAATGGTCGTACACGCGAGAGTAGTGACTTTGCTTATAAAGCTAACATTACTATATATTCGCACGAAAAATTCGCACACAACTGATGTGGAACTAAACCTGCATCACACCTTCCTCAAAGGCGGGTGATCGGCGAGGGTTCAAATCTTCCCAAAGTCAAAATTCATATATTTTTATCTGATTATCGCGACTTTCTTGTAGATCACCGATGAAGGATTAAGCAACAAGAATCACTAGATCATCAGCAAAAATCTCATCAATGCGATTGGTGGAACATTGCTACTAAAATTACTGAACAATTCGCAATAAAAGGATCACAATCCATCAAGTAAATCATCTCCGATTGATTGACGAAC